GAATATCAGATTTCCTTCCCTCCAATGTAGGGGCACCTGGACACGAAGTCAATCTAAAGTGATTCATTACTTTTCCAAAATTAACCCTGACACATGTGGATGGAGAAGTACAATGCAAAGGCAAAAATTGTCGCAAACTGTGTCTCTTAAAAGCATCTTTATGCGTAAAAAGTTGGACTAGACACTCCCCAATGCATAGTAAATACAGGGCTGTGGAGACAGTGTCATGGAGTTGGAAGCAATTTCAGATTACTGGATTCAGTAAAAAAAAAAAATATACAAACATGGACTAAATGTACGGTATATGCTGACATATAGGTTGACCCCACAAAATTAGAAGCATTATATAGGTTTAGGCTTATTTTCATCAGATAAGATGTGTCATTTAATTCCTGATCCTTTCCTGCACAGGTGTAAAATGCTGTGATGACAAGGGACGAATCACACTTATACTCCAAATGACACATATCTGACCTGTACTACTCAAATTGACATTCTCAGGTAGTCAATGCTGTGAAGGACAGGAGAAAAGACTTCCTGATAGATCTATTTCCTGGCCTTTTTGCTCTGAGCGGAGCAGTTAATTGCTTAAAGGGTTTTCCCAAGCATGAGAACCACTACAGCCATTGTAACAAAGTGTACACTGGTGTAGTCCCCCAGTATTGGGGCAAATTGTTTTGCAATGGTTTACCAACTTAGCTGGACCTAACCAGGTCCTGAGGCTCCCACCATGGTGACTTAAGCATATCTGGCTTCTGCAGGGCTGCAGAAACCCAATACCGATCCTGCCACTCATTCATTGGCTGAAACGGTCAGCTGATCGCTCTCAGCCAATGAATGCCCTTCAGTACATAGTATATGGACAGAATTGGCATTAACCAGCCAGGACCTCTTTCAACACAGGTGTAAAACATGCTGTGACGACTCACGCTTATACTCCAAATGACACATGTCAGACCCATAACACTAAAAGTGACTTGTTCAGTTAGTCAATGCTGTGAAGGACAGGAAAAAAGACTGCCTGATAGATCTTTTTTCTGTCCTTTTTGCTGTGAGTGGAGAAGGTAATTGCTTAAAGGGTTTTCCCCAAGCATGAGAACCACTACAGCCGCTGTAATAGTTGTGATGCAAAGTGTACACTGTCGTAGTGCCCCAGTAATGGAGCAAATTGTTTTGCAACAGTTTACCGACTTACCTGGACCCAACCAGGAGCCGAGGATTCTACCACAGTGACTTAAGCATATCTGACGTCTGCAGGGCTCCAGAAACCCAATACCGATCCTGACACTCATTCCATTGTCTGAGTGTCAGTTGATCGCTCTCAACCAGTCAAAAACCTTCTCTACATAGTAAACAGACAGAATTGACATTAACCAGCCAGGAACACTTGTTCTGGGCCGGCTAATGATGTATTAAAGGATCACTATAGTGTCAGGAAAACAAAGCGGTTTTCCTGAAACTATAGTGCCTTGAGGGTGCCTCTACCCCAAGGGTCCCCCACCCGTGGCGCTGAAGGGGTTAAACCTCTTCAGCAGCTTACCTTAATCCAACGTCGGTCTCCCTCGGCTCTGGTGACCTCTCCTCCCCTCTCCTCTCGCCAACGTCAGCTCCCAAGAGGAGCGGAATGCGCATGCGCGGCAAGTGCCGCACGCGCATTCAAAGAGTCCATAGGAAAGCATTTCTCAATGCTTTCCTATGGATGCGAAATTCGCATCCAGCGTCGCAGATGCGCCTCCAGCGGCTGTCAGGAAGACAGCCACTAGAGGCTGGATTAACCCCTAATGTAAACATAGCAGTTTCTCTGAAATTGCTATGTTTACATGTGAAGGGTTAAAACCTGAAGGACATTGCACCCAGACCACTTCATTGAGCTGAAGTGGTCTGGGTGACTATAGTGTCCCTTTAAGGACGATGACAGAGGTAACGTTCCGGTAGTAACGTTAAATTTTTCATTCATACTTAAAGCGACACTATAGTCACCCAGACCACTTCAGCTCATTGAAGTGGTCTGGGTGCCAGGTCCCTCAAATTTTAACCCTTCAGATGTAAACATAGCAGTTTCAGAGAAACTGCTATGTTTACATAGCAGGGTTAAGCCAACCTCTAGTGGTTGTCTTCCTGACAGCCACTAGAGGCGCATCTGCGACGCTGGATGTGAAATTCACATCCAGCGTGCATAACGTCCATAGGAAAGCATTGAAAAATGCTTTCCTATGGACTGTTTGAATGCGCGCGCGGCACTTGCCGTGCATGCGCATTCCACTCCACTCGGGAGCGGATGTCGGCGAGGGAGGAGAGGTCACCAGCGTCGAGGGAGCCCGGCGCTGAATTAAGGTAAGCTGCTGAAGGGGTTTTAACCCCTTCAGCGCCAAGGGAGGAGGACCCTGAGGATGGGGGCACCCTTAGGGCACTATAGTGTCAGGAAAACGGGTTTGTTTTCCTGACACTATAGTGATCCTTTAATTGCTGCACAAACAGATTCCCAACACCATGATCACTTCAAAACACTGAAGAGGACATTGTGCCTGGAGTAACCCTTTAATGTTGAATTTTATTTTTCCTTAACGCAACGACCAAGACGTGTTTGTGTGAAGCTCCTGCTCAAAATGCCTAAAATCGACCTAAAAAGGCACAAAACCACAGCATTGGGACCCTAAAACCAAGCTGTACTCGGAGCTGAAACCCCCCACAGAGAGATGGGGCGAAAAACCAAAAGACTAGCGCGCCCGGAAGGCTCCTACCTGCCCGCAGCAGCCACCACAGCCGTGCAGGCCTTGAAGCGCCAGTGAAAAAAGATGGCAATACTTGGCCGATAACGGCAGCATTCAGGATTAGGAAGGCCCCGACCGCCCCGGCAGATGCACCCAGAGACATAATAGCCGTCACTCAGGACATCTCAGTCAAAGCGGCGCCTATCGCCCAATCGAGGAAAACACCCACCACTAACATGAACAACCACCACATCAGAGTCTTCGACGACCTCCCGTTCTCGACCCTGATGGAGCGGCGGAAGTTCATGCCAATCACTCGCCAACTGCGAGTCAGGAGTATTCGATATTGCTGGGGGGCAGCGGGCATGCTGGTCGTACCACACAAAGACACTATCCTTATGCTATCCGCAGAGGATGACCCCGCAAGATTTCTACAAAGCTTACAGCAGTTACAGCAGATGTCTCCGGAACGGGGCAGCGGTAAGACTCCAAACATTACCAGCGAGGAAGAAGATGTGAAGAGAGGCACCGGAATGGAGAAGAAGCGGGGTAAACAACGACCGCAGAACCCCCCCATAGCACTGCAAGAAAAATAGACTGTTACCCACACGCCTAGTACCAGGGTCTGGATACAGCCCTGCGCAATACAGGCCCACACGGGACTTGATACCCATATAACGTTCCTTTTATTTTGCTTTGTTTTCGTTTGTTATCCTTTCCTTTTTTCTGTTGGTTTAGTCCACCTTATACTCTGGAGAGCTAAGTGCAGCCCCTAAGTGACAAATACACCGCTATCAATGGCTCTCACATGAGGCCCTAGCCTGGATTATAAAGACTGACTGGTAGGGCAGAGGATTAACCACGATAAGGCTGGCAGGGGTGAGGGGGAACACAGGACAGACCCGGGGGGAAGCGGGGAAGACTTACCACTAGGGCAGAACAAATTTCCATTCCAGAAGGAGGGCATACAGACAAAAAGGGTGCCCGCAAGGACCGCATATTCAGCAGAGCCGCCAAGGCGACATGCACCAATTAGAACAGGGATACTCCCGGGGCCCCATACACAAGATAGCCTGAGACCTCCAAGAAATTCCCAACAGACTACCTGCCTAAACTCGGGCCTGCCACCTACACGCGACATGGGCAAGTAAGGCACACCGGACAGACTGGGAACCGGAGAGGGGTCATCCAACACCTAGAGAGAGGACAATGAGAAGTGACCGAGGACATAGACGGGTAGGACTAAGATATACCCAGACATGCAATACCGAATGCTACAAGAGCGGGCAACTATGCACTTTAGGCCACATATAGAGACACGGGATACGGGATACCGACAGCGGGGAAGCCTCTGAGACCAGTTCACACTCACCGCCACACTCAACCTACTGCTCTTACTATGCTTTCGATTTCAATTAATTTTTGTTGTGACAATACTTATTTACAAAACTGTGGCACATTTGACAACTCTCGATTTATCTGTTTGCTGCCACAATACAAATAAAAAACAAAAAAAACAATTGTACTTCAAATTACAAACTTACCAGCATGGATTAATAGAATTTTAAATTTGGTCATTTCACTGGGATACATTTGTTGCAAACAGTGGAGTGAATACAGCGTTGAACCTCCGTTTCCTAAAGCAAAACAGAATCAAGCAAATGTTACAACACTTTAGCAGACAGTGCAATAATAAAAACAAAAATTAAAAGAACAAAACAAAACATTAGTTTAGAATTATCCTGTAAATTGTTAAATTCAGCACAACTACAAGCTTTCATAAAGAATGGTCAAAGTGTTTTATTTAATGGTTTTCTATACTTCCATAGTAAACAATTAAATTTACAAGGCAACTTAGAATCACTTATCTCAGCAAACAAAAAAAGAGATTAGGGGTCAAAACAAAACAATTAAAGGGATAGTGATTTGATGTATATACTCACAATGCATATACAAAGCACTATCACTTTAATTTTTTGGTTTTGACACTATTGTTTTTTAAATTGTATTTATCACATTCATTTTACTTTGATAACACTGAGAAAGGATTTGGGAAACCCTAGTCATATGGAAGGAAGCCAAAAAATGTTTATGAGAACACAAGAACAGCCCAAAATGTAAATTATTTTCCTCTGGTTGAACCCCATTCAGGTCTCATCCACGTTTTAGTTCCTTGTGCCATGTGTCATACAGCCATCTATATACAGTTAATAGTCATTCCATTTTAGGAGATCACATTTATTTGTACTAACAAAAGGCAAGCATATTTAATACTTGTACACAAATAATTTGTATTCAATAACTGCCTGAAGTTAAATATAAACATCACTATACACCGGGTACATTCCTTGGTGATACTCTGCCAGTCCTGCGCTCAAGCCATCTTTAGTTCTTGTTTGTTTTCCTTTTACAATTGGAATATTTAAACAGTTGGATTCTGCTCCAGTGACTTATTTGGTCTTGAATTCTATATAATATTTGTGATTTCATATATCCATAAATAGTAGGACTTTTACACTAAATGGGGAGTTAAGCTAACAAGCAGAGGTGAACTAAATATGCTCTCTTTTATATATTCCAAATGTTTGGACACAAATTTAGCGCAACCTCAGGGGCAACAACCCTGGGGCATCCAGTTCCAGGAAATTAGTGTTATGGAGGTATGGCAGGTTGGCCCACTATAAATATGGTTAAGTACCAGTCTGTGGATTCAGAAGTGGATTTGATTTTGGATTGGATAACTCTATGTAAGAAACTAATATAAGGTTGCCAAATAAGAAATATATTTTCTTGTTAAGATATACTTTTATTTGACAAGGTTTCTAAGTTCTACCCATTCCATATGGAATAGAAAGGAGATTTTTGTAAGATTGATAACTTTACCAACTTGGCTTTTTGGCCTAGAATTTCCAATCCCCTTGTGTGGTCTCCATTTTACTGAATAATTCCATGAATATGTATACACTGTAACAGAACTATGCTTGTGCCTGCACTTATTTATCAATACAGTTGGATTTACTAAAAACCGAATAACTATTTCATGGGAAATACCATTACTGGCGAATGCAGCTAAAACTACCGAACATCGGACCACCCAGGGGCACAGTTAAGTGGTATTTTACCTCCCAGTGCTTTTGGAGCCGTTCGCATGGTTTCACACGAATCCTTTGTGCTCAGAATAGATGGCCGCCATTTCGGGACTTTACACGTGTTCGCGACACTCTTACGCACGAACAGCGGTGTTTGCCCGTGAACGCATGGAACTAAAAACGGACACGCAAACAGGCGAACACCGCTGAGACCTCCATGAGCTCATAACTTCGTGCTGGAACTACTGAACGACCAGCTGTTCGGTAGTTATGCTTAAGCTCACATAGGGATTCCAGCGAACACCAGGGTGACTGTGGATGGCAAGGGGTTCGTGGGGTTTTAATGCACGAACAGAGACCGACCACAAGGCCAAAACTTATGGAACTCTTTTCGGCTAGAGAATCTGTGCGGTCGGTCAAAACGTCAAAGACCCATAACTCCCGAACTCCTCAACTGAATGAGCTGGAATTTGGATATGTTGTTCCCCTGAATGAGAGCTATCAAGCGGTACCGGATTTAAAGGTGTACCCCCTGTTTTTGGAGTACATCCAGAACTTGAGTAAAATTGTGTATGTTTTAATTGTGTTACATGTTTATCTGAGGGGAGGAGACGTGGGGGTTGTACCATGTATATGATTGGTTATTGTGATAATTATGTGGGTGTAGCCTTTTTCAGGGTACCATTGCTTAAAAGGAGACCCCTGTCAATAAACATCAGTTCAAGGACGTCTCCAACGGCAGATATCCCTTACCAGCTGGGTAGCCGTTACATACACCCGTTAACATCTACTGGAATAGCCATCTGGCAGAAGGCAGACACACAGGGGTATTTACCAAAGTAAGAATTGTCAGGAATATAACGTGAATTTCAAATTTAAGGCCAAAATAGCTGATTTGGAAAAAATTTCCAATTCACCTTTGCTTCCAGTTCAGCTATTTTGGTCTGAAATGTGACATTCTCTTTGAATTCCTAACAATTCTCCACTGTAGCAAATAACCCTGACAGACTTTAAGGAACTGATTTTTAAACTATACATTTCCTGGAGATGTAGGTTACATTTTGTACACCTATACGACATTCCCCATGTAACCCACATGTTTCTACATGAATGACAGGATCCCTTTTAAGGCGAGTTATGGTCACACTAATAAGAGTGAAGGCTAACTTTGGTACCCCAGATGTTTCAGAACTAAGAAACATGGGACATGAAGTCCAGGAACTGGTATGGGAGCCAAGGACAGCTATTGCAGCAAATACTATAAGGCTGTTATGAAGGCAGTTGCAGAGCTCACCAATTTTTGGTCCTGGTGGGTCAGAAAACACATGGTAACGAACTCCAAGGGGGAGCTCTTTTCGTGCCAATTTATCAGCCAACTGTTGCTGATAGGCCAACTCTTGCTGTTTATCAGCGGCTGTGATGATGATCACATCCCAGAATTTCCCAGGTTCCACTTCTTTACCTGGTTATGATAAAAAAAAAAAAAAACAGAAAATAAAAAAATCTTTATTCTTTTGCAAAAACATGCTGTAAATGAAAGAATTGTAATAGGCTTCAGATTTCAACCTTAGCTTAATGAAGTGTTTTTGGCATGTAGATCATATCCCTGCAGTCTCACTGCTCAGTTGTTGTGTTACTTAGTGTATCCCTTTAATCTTGAGGGCCCCAGGTATACCTGGCACTTACACTCAATTAGTGATGATGAAAAATAAGACAGAAGCGATATTTAAAAGGACACTCCACGCACCAGAACAACTTCATGTAAATGCAGTTATGGTGGTGTCAGAAGGTCCCTGGGAGCACTCTTGCCTCAAGGGATTAAACCGTTCTCAAACGGTTTAACCTCACAGTTGCCTCCAGCAGCGATGTCCACTCCCACCAGGCAGCATCCGGCTTCTGAATTTTCAGATTCAGGAAGCGCAGAGTGCCGCTGATTGGCTAAGAGCGATCAGTTTACACTCCCAGCCAATCAGTGATTCCCCATTCACAAAACTGGCTTTAAAAAAAACCATACGTTTCTTTCCAGTTTTGTGAATGGGTAGCCGCTGATTGGCTAAGAGCTTTAGTTGACGGCTTCAGCCAATCAGTGGCACCCCTGCCTGGTGGCACTCCGCTCTTCCTGAATCTGAAAATTTATTTAGATGAAGCCATTTTGGTGCCTGGAGTGTCCCTTTATGCAGGGTTATTTCACACAAAAAAATTTTTTTCAAAGTTTTGGTCAAAATAGCCAAATTGTTAAAAAAATTAATCAATCAGATTTTGATTGATACAAGCTTGATACATTTTTAAAGCAGATATCTTGGCTTAAATTTTACAATTCAGTTTTGAATTCTCTTCATTCCGTTGTTTAGTGAATTAAACAAACTGTGATCATTTGCTGCGAGCAACATATTAATCAAGATGCTGTTGTGTATATGGAATATACAGTAAGTAAGCAAATTAGTAAATTAATAAAGCAATGCAACAAATAAATAAATAGAAAGATTGGTGTAAAAACAATTGATATCATTTTTTGAGAAATAATTGTATTAATTCAAACAGTGAAAATGAACAGTCGGTGCTCCACGCAGTCTGACTCCCATCTTCCTCAGCATTCTCTTGTATGTAATGTTCCTTTGTGTTCCGTGTAATTTTATGCATTCTGTTCTAACCTCATGACATCGCTTTTTATATACTGTATCTCCTGGTATCCAGACTGCCATATTAATCTATAAATTATATATAAAGTTCCAACAGAGTCATCAGCCCTGTGCAGTGTGAGTCATACAAACATACAAGTAAATGTAGGGAAACAAGTTAGGCAAACAGGAACAAATGGTAAGAAGATCCTGCTCAAACAAGCCTTTTGACAACAAACAGGGTTATTTAATAAGGTGAGAATTTAAAGTGAATTTCAAATATAAGGCCAGAGTAACCAATCTGAAAGCATAGCTGGCAGAGAATTTTTCCAGTTTGGCTATTTTGGTCTTAAATTTGAAATTCACCTTGAATTCTCACTTTAGTGAATATCTCTAATAGTCTTACATACAGAATGCTTGTCCTGTTAAATCAGAGTTATTACCAATAAATATGTTAGCATTCTGTACTGTGTAAATTCTCATGCTCTCCTATCCAAAGCCCACTACATCAATTTTACACTTAGAAATTGGGTTTTTAAATTCACAATCAAGGGGTAACCAGATATTCCCTATAAATAGGGTGTACATACATAAAATACTTCAATCACAGCAACTATAAACTGAATGCAACTTCATCTAGGTGCGGTGTATGTGATGAACCCACATTTAACCCCTTAAGGACCAAACTTCTGGAATAAAAGGGAATCATGACATGTCACACATGTCATGTGTCCTTAAGGGGTTAAAGGGGAGATATCTGATCTACATCTATACGGTTTGTAGTAGAAGGTAGGTTTTGGGGTACCTCTGATAGTGTTGAATTTAGCCAGCCTGCGGTGGGTCTCTGTCGGTAGACTGACATCTTCCTGATTACACATCCTGACCCCCTGCTGGTTTCTGGAGAACACCCCCTTAACTTTGATTTATCTGCAATAGGTAGTTTCCAGGGAACCAAAGGCTTGACAGAGGCGACTATGAGACTGCTACAATGTAGCGAGACTGCAAGAAGAGAAAAGTAGGAAATGGGAGGTTTGGCCATACACAGACAGCCTCTTAAAGAGACAGTGACGACATCAGCCTCTAACAAAGGGGAAGCAAAGTATAACAGACACATAGCTGCAGTCAAAGCTAACACATAAAACTGTTTATATTCGAACTTCCTGAATGCAAGCTGTTGGCAAATCATCAAATAGAACCTAATGTTTCCCCCCTTTTTAGCTGTGCCTACTGCAATTTATATTAATCTTAATGCAGCTATGTAGTGTATAATTTCCATAGGTATTCACAGTTAAAGGAACCCAGAAAGCGATAAAACAAGCTAGTTTCAGAGTAGTGTGTAGCTAGCCAAAAAGGGGTTTCTTTTTGCCTGGCACACAGGGCCATACAGAATTAACTTGTGTCTAATATTAATATAAACTCCTGCTAGCTTGTCTTTGATATATATCCAGAAGCTGGACATCAGAGATCAAACCCAGGACAGAAGCCACAAATTAGGATTGTCTTGCTCAGAAGTATGCTCATAAACCATTTCCAGGTGCAGAAAGCGTACCAGTTAGTACACTCAGTGAAATAACTTTATTCAGGCATTATAGATAGACTTTCTGGACAGACAAGATTTCAGCGTAAAGGGAAAACATCACAAAAAGCATGCCACCCCACCACCATTGTTGGCATCACATAATATTAATGAAGCAAGACTGCTTACTGGTAGGTACGAGATGCCCACATTGACCAGGTGTCCTCTGTATTTCCTTTGATTGGCACATGTATTCACAATCAAGAAAGCACTACTTTAAGCGTTTAAATCATTTGCCCTGGGCCATTACATAAAACATCAGACGGTCAAGATGACATCAGTGGCGCAAATTTCAATTTAGTTTTAGTCGTAGTATTTTGACTAAAAAGCCATTTTAGTTTTAGTCGTATTTTAGTCATTTGAATTGTTTTAGTATTAATATACTAAATCTCCAGTAGATTTTAGTTGATTAAATCTCCAGTAGGTTTTAGTCGCCTAAATCTAATGGGTTTAGTTAAAGCCTCTTTTGCCTCTTCTCTAGTCCCTCTGTGTCTTTGTGTCCTCCCAGCCCCTCTAGGTGTCTCTCTATCAAACCTCGGTCTGTCTCTTTCGCCCCAGCCCCTCTGTGTTTCTTTGTGTCCTCCCAGCCCCTCTAGGTGTCTATCTCTCAAGCCACGGTCTGTTTCTTTGGCCCCTTTCATAGCCCCTCTGTGCAGTGTTAATTTTGGCAGCAAAATTCAATTTAGTTTTAGTCATATTCTTTTGGCTAAAAAGCCATTTTAGTCGTATTTGAGTCATCTGAATTGTTTAGTTTTAATCAACTAAATCTCAAAACATTTAGTCGACTAAAATTGTTAAATTTTGTCATTTAACACTGGACGACATCTCTTATTTTATCAACCTATCTTCTGTGCACATATTGTAAACAAAAATAGTACAAATCATACATATAAATTAGTTACTCATACTTTAGTCTCCTGCAAAAGGAATTTTAGTTAGGGGTTTATGCTCTAAACCAGAAATTGTGGAAAACAATTGGGCGCATAGAGAATATGATAAGTTCAGAGTTTCTGGCTGTTTGGATGGCATAATGGCAATGTGTATGTAGGAGCATATTTGTGTAGAGTGTTGAGTACATGTGAATGACGGGTGTATTTGAGTAGAGTGCTAGTGTGTGAATTTAGTGGTGTGTTTTTATGGAGTGCCATTGTGTGCATAGCAGAGCATATGTGTGATGTTTTAGTATGCATGTGTGGCTATTTATAGTGCATGAATAAGTATTTAATGTGCATGCACAGGTGTGTATGTGTGCTGTGTTTCCAATTCTCATCTGTCCCCGCTGTGTCTCTCTATTCATACTTCTCCCCCTCACATGTGTTCCTCTCCACCTTTCCCAATTATGCCCTTTCCACATAACCCTTCCTGTCTCCAGCTCTTCCCTCATCCCTCATTTGTTTCCCCTCTTCTTTCCCCCATAATTCACCTGTTCCCCTCTTCTTTCCCCATCCCTCAATTGTTCCCCTCTTTTTGTCCCTATATATCACTGGAACCGCTCTTCACACAATTGCTCTCCTCATCCTTCTCCCATTTCAGTCACTAAATTTTCCTATAATATCCCCCCTTCTCGAACACCTTAGATAACACTAGAAAAAAAAAAAACTCAGGGCTAACAACAGTATTTCATATTTCTTACTATGGGTGTTGTTCTGGACCAAGCCAAGTGTTTGTTTGAGTATCTGCCCCTGTCCCGATTGTTTGAGATAAAATGTGTGCACGCGGAAGAAAATCACACTGAGACACAAGTTTCAGGTTGATGAAAAACTTCGGAATGTTTACTTAGAGGGGCGGCAGACCCCTTATAAAGCAGAAAATACATCATATGCAAAAAACATGAGATAACAGAGTATACATCTTTAATTGATCAAGTGTCTTATCTAATGCACTTCCTCCAAAGTGTGATGTCACCATCATCTCGGGATTTTACTCCGGATGGAGACGCCATCTTGTTACACTTGGTGTTTGGTCGATGGGAGGGGGTGCTTTAACAGCCATTTTGAATAAATACTGAATACATAGTAAATAGACTTTTTTTTTTTTAATTCTTTATTTTTGTTCGTGCATAAGTTTAACAGGCGGATTTGCACTGCCACAATAGCTGGAGCAATCAAGTTTGCATCCACGCTTAAGCACATGGCATTAATGACATTGCACTTTTTTTTTAAAAGTAGTTACATAAACAGGATAATTTCTTACGCTTATAAAGGCAAGTGATTTGCGTTACAGATCATAGCTATATACGCTTATCTTTGTATCTGATTGTACAGTGTCATGCCTTTAGTACAGTATGTCTGGCCTATGCAGTGATTTGTAATTATGTGAGGCGCTTGAGGGCCTTTGCACCGGGGAGGGCTGCAGTCTCCCACCGGCTCCAGTCCCAGTAGGCCACGTTTGTAACTTTGCAATCCTGGCCGCTACGGACTTCGGGGAGATGTCTTTCTGTTCAGCAGTGCACCCCCGACTTGGGTGGTGCACCATGGATGGGTCTTGGGCCATATGGCCCCCTGATTTTCCCCCTTTTTCGGCCCGTGTGGCAGGAGCTCGTGTCAGACACATCTGCACGGCTTGGTGTCCAGGCTCCGCCCCCCACTAAATAGACATTTTACCTACATTAATTTCTATCCAAAACAGTGTTATGCTGAGACTAGAGAGGGCTGCCAAATGTAGGCAATCTTTGTCACTCAATGTGTTGTTGACTACATCTCCTCTGATGCTTTTCCAGCATGATGGATGTAAGAGCATTATGGGAGATGTAGTCCACAACATTTGAAGTGGCGAAGGGTGCCTATCCCTGACATAATGTATAGCAGCGCCTGTGCAGAGGGCTTCTGTAGTGTTCTCTCTATGTAGAAAAGTCCTTAGTGGTATGAAGTATGCGTAATGGTTTTCTGGGGCCATTTGTGATGTGCATCAGGTTACTGGATGTACTCTGGAAAACGTAAACCTGAGAAAAAGTTTATATGATCATATTTGTCCTTTGTGGTGTGCTGCTGTACATCTACGATAACTCTTAGAGTTTCAGTTATGTAAAATATCAAGATAAGGAGTTATTTACCATTATTATATTTTATGCAGAAAGAGCCAACACATTCTGCAGCACTGTCCATGGGAATAAATAAAAGACAAATGGTACAATACACCAAAGAGACTATACAAAACAAGAAGATGGTTAGGGCCCTATTCCCGTGGGAATTTACATTCTAGATACCCTCTCTGCTCATACACGTTATTTCCACATTGATCTTGAACCACAAAATGTAGCACAGACATATTGTTCTACTCAACAATATTCTAAGTGCAGCTAATTATCTATAAACATTGTCAAATCTGTACATCCTTTACATATTACAGTCTTTACGTGAGCACTACCATCCAGGTAGATCTGAGTTACATGAAAAAAAATAGAGGCCATTTCTCCTTTCTTTCTGCTCTACGATGTGTCCCCTTGATCCCATTCCCCACACCTTACTCAGTCTCTCTCTTCTTTAACTGTCCCACGTTTAGATGAAACATTCTCTCTTTTTGCTCTGGCGTGCCCCTTTCATCCTTCAAACATGCACTGATCACTCTCGTAATAAAATAGCCTTTTACCCAGATGTTTTGCCAAGCTATCATCCGTTCGCTCTTCTTCCCTTTGCCTCCAAGCTCCTTAAAAGGCTTGTCTACACTTGACTTACAGACTATCTGAACTACAACTTGTTACGCTACTTGGGGTGATTTGGATTGGAACTCAACTGCAGCTTGTAAACTCCCTAATTACAATAGTGAAGAAACAGAGAATCTTTAAAGTATCAATACTGTAGCTTTAAGAAAAAAAAAAAAAAAAAAAATTGCTGGTAACTTGATTCAACCGAAGTTTTAATAAGTGTTAAAATTTAAATGAATTGCATTTAGGCAATAATCCAATAAGAAGAAGTGCAAGTAATCAACAACACAAAGTTCATTAACAAGTATTTCCTCAGAGATGCATTAAGTAACATTCTTTAAGTTCATGAGAATAATCTTCAATAGAAACAATAAGCAAGTAGCTAAGAATATTTGCAAAGCAGGAACAGACCAGTCCATAGTTAATAAGCATGATGGGAGTTGTCCTCCATATAATTAGTAGCTTGAAGCAGTGAAGATTTGAGTAAGCAAGCATTAGTTCATTATTAAATGATATTGTAGACAAATAGCTGAAAGATATACTTAAGGTTAATATGTGTAGTCCTCCAATAGTTCAGAGATATGGTCCACTTCTAAAGTAGCAAAGTATCCGTTCTCCAGTAATCCTTTGTGGCATGCAGCAATCCTTGCATTGGCTCAAAGGCTGGAACGGCTTGTCTGAGTTTGTGGAGAGATAAGTCTGGTGGAAGTAGCTGAGCCTGCGGAGGCAGCTCACACACAATCACCAAGCACCCTCTCTCTGGTGACGGTAAATACCGTCAGAGCTGTGTCAGAGGGGGGCGGGGTCCGGCTCCTCACAGCTGAGTGCCGAACCCGGAAGTGTTACTCCATGACACAACTCCTTACTTGACCTGCTACAGTCTGGCTTCTGCTCCCAACATTCCACAGAGAATGTCTCAACATTCCACAGAGACTCTCCACAGACTCTGTCCAGTCACGGAACTACAGCTGGTGCAGCTGCTGAGGCGTACACTACGGGGGCCAATCACGTGGTCCATGCACTTAGGTCCACCCGATGAGCTTTTTATGGCACAGGCCTGGTCAGACGCTGTGGCCCTTTAACAGCGCGACTGGGTCTCCTTCTTTTCAAGAGCCTGGGAGGAAGTGACTCCTGGTCCCTTCCTCCCATAGAGACCGGAGCCACGCAGAGGGAGCAGAGAGGAGCGGGCCGCGCAAGGGAGAAGGAAGAGAGGAGGGGGGCTGGAAGAGCCAGCCTCTAACTCCCAACTATCTCAGCGAGCTGACTCAAACCCAGGGAAGACACCCTTTAGCAATATAAAGGTAGAAAACTGGAGGGTGGCTATAAAAGTGTACATTTTGACCTGCATTTATATCTGTATGTCTGTTAGTGTGTGTATCTGTATCAATGTATGGATGTATCTGTCTGTGTGTTTGTTTCTGTATGTGTGTCAGTGTGTATCTGTATGTGTGTCAGTGTGTGTATCTACATGTTGTCAGTGTGTATCTGTATGTGTGTCAGTGTGTGTATCTACATGTTGTCAGTGTGTATCTGTATGTGTGTCAGTGTGTGTATCTATGTATCTACATGATGTCAGTATGTATCTGTATATTCGTATATGTGTGTCAGTGTGTATCTGTGTCGTCAGTATGTGTATCTCCATGTGCGTCAGTGTGTGTGTATCGGTGTGTCTTTCTATCTGTATATGTGTCAGTGTGTGTATCTGTGTGTCTGTGCCTGTAAATCCACACAGCCTCTCTACGATTTGGAGAGCTGAAGTGGATACTTTCCCTAAGGTCCTGATGTCATATTCCGGCTCCAGAATCACAGCAGAACCCACGAGGGAGCAGATAAAGGAGAGCACACAGATCAGCGCTCTATTGCTGCCCATCTAGAATATGCGTGTTTGCCCTCCTAGAGGGGCCCTAAGGTGGCCTAAGCTGACAGCTCTTGGGCCCCCTATAAAAGAGGCTTTCTCTCCCCCTTCTTCCATGTCTCCCCCCACCTCGATCCCAAGTACCAGTCAGATTTGTGTCCCCATCCCTGCTGTTATACCTTTCGGGGGAACAGGGGGCTCTTGATGTCCAGCGTGCTGCCTGTAGTTTAAGACTGAGTGCCATGTAGTCATGTGACAGCCCGCACTCCTGCGTAAAGTGTATGGGAGAAGGCGCTCCCCTGCTAATTTAGTGTATGTGCGGTTCCCTTATGAAGCCGCTTGCTACCTGTAAAACACATAAAGCCATTGTGTAATGGCGCAGCGAGCCCCCCCACTTAAAGTACCACCTGGGGCCATGGCCCCAACCAGTCCCATTGTAGGGCAGAGCTGTGTATGGTGGAACTTCTTAAAGAGAAACTCTTCACTTACAGTGAACCAAATGCACAGTGCAAATTGTAGGTTTTGTTTTAGAACTTGGACAGTTAAAAGTTATAATGTATATAATACATGACAGAATATATAAAACATATAGCAATGGTGATGTATTCTCACTGAGTGACATCATGAAAAGGGAGAATGAAATGAAAACTTTGCTGGCACTATTTTAATCAGTCGCAGTTCGTTATAAAGGGGAGGAAAAAAAAGTGTAACCAACAAAATGGCGCCGTTCCCCCTTGGTGTCGACACATTCCGTTCCCCCTTCTTTGCTGCTGCTGCTATCATTTTAGAATTTCGCAGTTCATGTTATAAAGGGGAGGAAAAAAAAGTGTAACCAACAAAATGGCGCCGTTCCACCTTGGTGTCGACACATCCCAGTCACGCTTCCAATGCGTGAGCACGTCGTACGTCGCGGCGCGCAGCGCCCCAAGCTTCCGGGGAAGGAAAAAAAAAAAAAAAAAAAAACCCCACTCGGTGACGTCACAACTAAGCGCGCACAGGTTGGGTTCGTAGTGGGGAATTGGCGGTTTTTGGGCCCCGTGTCCCGTTTCCTTGTCGGGCGGTGACGTAGGAGGTGCTTACCGAGTGGCGCCCACCGGGATACGTCACATGACACACCGGCTCCGCCATGGGCTTCCTCAAACTCATCGAGATCGAGAACTTTAAGTCGTACAAGGGACGTCAGATCATCGGGCCATTCCGCAGGTTCACAGCCATCATCGGGCCCAATGGATCCGGTGAGTAAGGCGGCCAAGGGCTGGCACGTCCTGGGCTTACTGCCCAGCTAAACAGCAAGATAGCCGTGCATCATGGGAAACGTAGTCCACTGTGGCCAAGGTTTAGCCAGCAGCAGCATAGGACATGGGCAGGCACCCTCTGGCACTCCAGATGTTGTGGACTAGATTTCCCTAAAAGCTTGTGCAGCCATAATGCTGGCAAAGCATCATGGGAGATGTAGTCCACAGCATATGGAGTGCCAAAGGGTGCCCACACCACATTGTAAACGGCAGGCAGTTGGCAACTTTTGGCATTCCAGATGTTCTGGACTAGATTTCCCTAAATCAGGCATGGGCAACCTTCGGCCCTCCAGATGTTTTGGACTACACCTCCCATGATGCTTTGCCAGCGTTATGGGTGTAGGAGCATTATGGGGGATGCAGTCCGCCGCAACTGGAGTGCCGAAGGTTGCCTATCCTTGCCCTAGATGCTTGTGCAGCCATAATGCTGGCAAAGCACCAGGGGAGATTTTGTCCTCAACATCTGGAGTAACAAAGGTTGCCTACACCTGGTATATAGGGTGTAATCTACCTGGCGGTAATTTCTTATTTGAGTCATTGTTATTGGTAGCATCTGCCCAAGGAAGCAAATGTAGGCAACCTTCAACACAAACTTCCAGTGGTTGTGGACTACATCTCCCATAGTGCTCTTCAAGCCATATTACTGGAAAAGCATTAGGGGAGATGTAATCCACATACGGAGTGCTGAAAGTCGCCTTCCCCTCGTTTAGTGTATTCAGTTGTTAATAGTCACACGTTGTTTACCAACACAATGTTACATTTTATAAGTTACAATGTTGCTACAAGTAAACACGATACAGAAACCTTCTGCAAAAAAACGAATCACTTCCTAGTAATGGACCTGGAAGTGATGTAGGGATATATTTCTTACACGATATCTTTTGCAGAACACAATCCTTTTTTTAAGAGACACTCCAGGTTGCAACTGACCCAAATGTAGAGCAGGCATTTGAATCTGCTCAGAAAAACACAAAAGAAACTGTCATTTAAAGTTGAACTGTCACTTTCAGAGAAGTGACCTTACATCCTTTCCTCTCCCCTCTCCCACCCCCCCTCCAAAAATAGAGCGGGTACCCCATGATGATTTTCATGTACTGTGAAATGCAATAGTACCAAGTATGTGCAGTGTAAACCGCAAGTAAAGTTTAAAAAAAAAAAAAAAACATAAGCCCAGCATTGTGGATCACACTGTCTCTTACATCCAATGTAAATAGACTGAAAAGGCAAAACTCAAGAGACCAGGCAATTGCCCGGAGCACCTGTCTTGCAAAGACTTCCTATTGAGCTGCATTGGGAAATCTGTGATTGGACAGCCACAGAATGTCTGGGAGGAGGAACAAGAGGAAGATCGGCAAAGGATGATATCTGCAGCTTTTGCAAGCAGTTTTAGATATTCTTCCAATGAAAAAATACATAATTTAAATGCTTTCATTGGCGGTATATCCTCTAAACAGTGATTTTTATTTTTTACATTTTGGGCAATGGAGTGTACCTTTTAACTTGCGAAGTAGCTGTTGCAAGGATCACAATGTGCATTGTGGCCGTGCTTTTAACCATGTGTCCGTTCTGTGTAATTTGTACTATAACTGTTGCAAAAATATATAGCTTGTTCAAATATATGTAAAGTGCTTTATGGGTAATCAATTTAAATTCAAGTAGGTTGTCAAGTGTATAAACGTGATAGTATATTTGTTTTGGCAGTATTCTTATCACACACATTTTTCCACAGTTGTGTACATGAGGACTTGTACTTTATTATCTTCTGTACTTGTCCCAGTCTTTTCATTTATTTATAATAACTATAGATCGTGCTTTAAACCCAATAAATAGTACTTGCATTTTAAGTTGCATAGTTCCATAGTAATCTAGTTTTAATAAATAGTCGTCCATAATAAAGTCCATCAATTTCAACCTTTAAAACACTTCTATTGTTTTTTTTTTAAATAGTTTTATTCGTGCATAGGTTAAATAAGCATGGTTGCACTGCTACAAAAGCTGGTGCAAGCAGCTCATTAGGTATAGTATAACAGTTGTGTGGCATTGAAAATATTTTGTTAATGTAAATAAACAAGCTTAAAACTAATGTCTTCATGTCACAGCAGTGAACTGGAAATATTGAGATATGTCAGGGGTAACGTAGGCATGAGGCTGTCTGAACAAATCCAGTATCTTATTTAAGTAACAAGCTAGGTAGTCAACTATGATATCTTGTGAGTGAAACCACTAGGATGTGATTTAGAAGAGTGAAGGTTTGTCTCACTAGGTAAGTAATAATGTGTGCAGGCCACCAGCGGGTACAACTTCAGCAAATTCCCTAGTTTTAGAGGCAGTGGGCAGTTTTGGGTTAGTCCTTGGGGCAAGTGGCAAGATAGGAGCGAGCCGGGCCACCCTCCAGCTCCAGGCCTGATCAAAGGGCCGCGTCTCTGTAGCACGAACTTGGTTACACCAAGTGCTTTGCCTGAGGGTGTCTCATTCACCTTCCGACCTCCACCTCCCTGGCCTCCTATTTTATGCCTAGATGGTTCCGGTGCTATCCAAGCTGCTATTGCTTACTAAAAGCGGTCAAAAATCTCCTCCAGCCTCTGCAGACGTCAGCTTGTGCTCACGATGTGATTCCGCCATCTTGGGATAGCCAGGTGCTGTCTGGGCTACTGAGTTGGCATCTGAGTGTTAGAGGTAAGTGTTAATTTCAGTGGGGACCGCGATAACAACAGGTCATGAGTGGCCGCCTCACCTGCCCGGTATTTCTACTAGGCCTCTCCAATACCTCCGGTAAATGCAGTGGCAGACCTTCAACGAAGCCACATTTGGGCACCACGTGTGGTTCCAGAGATTGGGTAGTCACAAATTGTGCAGAATGTGAGTGCTAGGCATTAAGTACAAGAATCCTGCAGAAGTTCTCACAGAATGCGTCTGGCTACCATGCGATTCAGCCCCCGTCCCCCTAAAACACATATTTTTTATGCTGTTGAGCCAAAAGAAGTGGTTTCTCAACAAACTTCTCAATACAAATTTTTTTTAAAAGGATTCATCCAACCCAAAACTAGTGTTTTCATAAAACACTGATTTTGGTTATAGTAAATCTTTCTGTGTTGGTACCCCTACCCAAACGCAAAAATAAAGCTTAAACTCGCCTCATTTCTATTGCTGAGACAAAGTACTCTCTCTGCTTGATCCTCTTAGAAAGTAACAGGGCCGGTTGTCTGACAGCCAGGTGGATGTAACAAGGTTAATTTATAAAAGTGCCAAATTCTGTTGAAATCTGTCCTTTTTGTAAAATTAAAAAGAGGACACACTTCACACACAAAGCATTAGCAAGCCCAATTTCTTTAGGGGTCTAAATCCTCCCTTTAATTTCCTGAATAAAGAATTGTCATGAATTTAGACTAAATTCCAAAATGTAGTCAAAAATTGCATAATTTGGAAAAATTTGCAACTCTTTTGCTTTTATATTACCTTTTAGTTTCTGTTCACTGCAATTTGCTGTTTTGTAATAAGCACACGATGTGCATAAAATTCATGTTTACTATGATTGCTTATATTTTACTGAAGCTTTCCAATCACCTCTTCATCCACAGGAAAGTCCAATCTTATGGATGCTATCAGCTTCGTCCTGGGGGAGAAAACCAGCAACCTAAGAGTAAAGACATTACGAGATCTCATCCATGGAGCTCCTGTAGGGAAACCTGCCGCAAACCGTGCGTTTGTTAGCATGGTGTATGCGGAGGATAGTGGCGAGGAGAGAATCTTCTCAAGAGTTATTGTGGGTAAGCGTGTGTCATGACCGGGGATAACTGAATTCCAAAACAGAATCTTCTGTTAAACAGGCATTGTTAGGTGTGTTTGAATAAACAGATTTTTACATTTTTTTTTTTATTATTATTATTTATTTTTATTATTATTCCAATTTCACACCGGATCATATTTTGAAATTCAATTAGTTGTCCACAGCACATATATATGTGAGCAGATTTTGCAACTTCATTATAGACTAAAAACAACAGCAGCAAAATATGGGTGTTAAGAGGATCTCTTAATTACGACTTCAAGAATAAACATGATTTTGGAGAGTAATATATTATACATTTTAGAATACTCTTGATTATCTGGATGCTATTTGCTTTTTAAAACTTTTACACAGTTGACAATTTTGGTGTATTTCTCCTTCTTAATCCTGCTTGTGATTTGTTTATTATCTACTAGGTGGTTCATCTGAATATAAAATCAACAAGAAAGTAGTCCAACTGGCAGAATACAGTGAAGAATTAGAGAAGCTGGGGATCCTTATTAAAGCGAGGAACTTTCTGGTGTTCCAGGTATGCATTGCTAACACGTTTAAAGTTCACATTTTTTAGAGCTTACTACTATTGAAATTATCATTTCTTCTGTAATCTTTTGTAGCTTTCCTGTAAGTGCTTTCAGTTTGTTGTGATCTCATTCTACATTGGTGACAATTCCAGTTGCTGAATTTCTCCTAAATGCCACAATTATTATTTTACATAGAACATCGCTCTAAAGGTGGGTTAATATTGTGTCTTACTTAGGGAGCTGTGGAGTCCATTGCAATGAAAAACCCCAAAGAGCGTACGGCATTGTTCGAAGAGATAAGCCGATCTGGGGAGCTGGCACAGGAGTACGATAAACGCAAGAAGGAGATGGTGAAGGCAGAAGAAGACACACAGTTTAATTATCACCGCAAGAAAAACATTGCTGCTGAGAGAAAGGAGGCCAAGCAGGAGAAGGAAGAGGTTTGTAGTAGAGTTTTTGGGGATTGTCTCTATTAAGAGGGAAAGCACAGAGACAGCTATGTGAGAAATGACTGTTTAGATTTATGTGCTGGTAAATAATTAGGGAAGCTATGAGGAATAGAGTGCTAGAATAAAAGAACTTTAAGCCTCATGGTGTACATTTCTGGATGATGATCTGTCTTTTAGGGATTGTCTAATGAAAAGGCAGTCTATACATTTTACCAGGCAGTAGGTATGTGAACTACTGAATAATACTGGGGAAGAATAAAAACAAATAAAACAGAAACTATAAAACCTCATACTGTATCTATAAATCGGTGGATCAGAATCTGTAATCCCATGTTTTGCTGTATGCAGGCGGAAAGGTACCAACGGCTGAAGGATGAGGTAGCTCGTGCTCAGATCCAGATGCAGCTTTTTAAGCTTTACCACAACGAATCTGAAATCGAGAAGCTGAATAAGGAGCTAGGCACGAAAAACAAAGAAATTGATAAGGACAAAAAACACATGGACAAGGTGGAGGAGGAGCTGAAGGAAAAGAAGAAGGAACTGGGCAAGCTGATGCGTGAACAGCAATCCATTGAGAAAGAGATCAAGTGAGTGGCACCTAAATATTTGGTTTCTACTCCCACTCACCCAAAATAAATGCAATGCAATAAATTGTTATCCTCTGCATTGGATCATCCATTCTTTGCAGTCTTGTTAGCTGCCCAAGTGATTGGTAATAGAAAAAATGGAGTTGCGCTTTTGGTTTAATAGGCTTTAGATTATTTGGGTATGTATTTTTTGTAAGACTGGTTAGTGCTCCAGTTTTTCTAATATTTAAAGCTCGTGTGGTTTTGCACACAGAGACTTCTTGTGTTCTTGTTGTGGTCCTGCAATATTTGTAAGAATAATGCTCTGCATGTTGGCTCTGTATGGAGATTCCAAACAGTTCCAATAGAGGTTCAATGTATCTCGTAGGTTTCATGTGCACTTATGCTGAAGCATTTGATTGGCTTAGATGATCAGTAATGATGATCCTAGCCAGGGGAGGGGTATTAACCAGTGTAAGAATGGTACTTTTGAGGCACTTAAGGGTTGGGTGGATGCATAATCTAAATAGTATAACACTTTAACATTTGAAATGCTTGTGTTACTTTAACAGGGTGCTAAGAAGGAGACTCCCAGGTCCAGGGTAGAAATGTCTCTACCAATATTTAATTAGATTTTATAGGCCTCACAAAAATATTTTTGTTTTAATATGAGGGGTAGGTAAACATATTAAGAATCCTGGGTATTTACTGTCCTTTTTTGGGTCTAGATATTGTGGCATATGGTGCATATGTGTATGCAAGGGTGTGGGGGCGCCAATTTGTTTGAGCCTCTGTACAGAGGAAATCACTCTCCTAATCTATGAGAAAACCTCTTCAGTTCATTGCACTGTAGTATTCGCTAATGTAATATTAACATTGTTTCGGAACTGTTTATTCTGTTCTGTTCTTACGTTAGAAAATAAAGTAATATGCTGATGGAGAAAAATGGTCAATGGCCTTTTATTTATTCTCTCCCGCCCTCCCCCCCCCTTTTGCAGAGAAAAAGATGCAGAGCTGAACCAGAAGCGTCCTCAGTATATTAAAGCCAAAGAAAACACTTCACACAAAATTAAGAAGCTAGAGACTGCAAAGAAGTCCATGCAAAACGCTCAGAAGCAATACAAAAAGCGCAAGGCAGATATGGACGAGTTGGAGAAAGAGGTGAAATCTGTAGATAAGGCCAGACAGGAATTTGAGGAAAGAATGGAGGAGGAGAGCCAGAGCCAAGGTCGCGATCTCACGCTAGAAGAAAATCAGGTAATTTTTAAGAGAACACTAATCTTGAAAGAGCAAAATTGAATTGAAAGAAGGACACACCACTTAATTTCCAGTTGACAGAACTGATGATGTTGCTTTCTGATTGACAGGTTAAACAATATCATCGCCTAAAAGAAGAAGCAAGCAAAAGGGCAGCCACTCTTGCCCAAGAGCTGGAGAAATTTAACCGTGACCAAAAGGCTGACCAAGATCGCCTTGATCTGGAAGAGAGAAAAAAAGTAGAAACCGAGGTATGTATGCATTCATGTGCCTAGTTCTGAATCCCTGAGCCCACCTGCTCCCTTTCTCACGTACCCCTTTTCTTTAAACTGAGGGCACTTTCTCACATTACTCCTGGGCAGATTTTTGACTGCCCCTATTATGGCTTTAATGATGTGTACAGTCAAATTACTACACCCAAAGGGGGGTCTCTACCTAATGATGATATGTCTGTTACCGGGAGTATTATGGATTTCCCCAGTTGCGTGGTATTCATTATTTGTATGTTTAATTTGTGTTGAAGAATTGCTTATTTTCTTTTCTGTGAACTATGTGAAAATTATAAAAAAATAAAAAACAAAAAAACAAAACTGAAATGTTAATCTATTTTGGATAAAAGGAGAGAAAACATTCTTATACATAGTTCATCTATTGAGATCAACAATGGCCTTAAATTCTTTATTGCACCTGTAAAGAATATATGCTGTGTTTTTTCAAAGTGGTGAATGAAGAAGATCTAAATGTATGTTAGAAATGGTTCGCTAACCACACAAGATTTGAAAGCTATGTTATGGTGGTTCTGTTTGAACATTTGTGGTGGTGTTTCTTGTTCCCTTATACAGGCAAAAATTAAGCAAAAGCTGCGTGAAATAGAAGAGAACCAGAAGAGAATTGAAAAATTGGAAGAGTACATTGCCACTAGCAAGTATGTGATTATTTCCTTGCAGTGCCTTTGCCATTTACTGCTATTTAGAATCAGGTGTGCAGGTTCCTGCATTCACTTATCCCTTATCTAATATCACATTTTCTTTACCACTGTATAGGCAGTCACTGGAGGAGCAGAAGAACCTGGAAGAGACCTTGACTGATGAGGTGGAGATGGCCAAAAGAAGAATCGATGAAATAAACAAGGAGCTGAATCAGGTTATGGAGCAGCTGGGTGATGCCAGGATCGACCGTCAGGAAAGCAGTCGGCAGCAGCGCAAGGCCGAGATCATGGAGAGCATCAAGAGACTGTATCCTGGATCAGTGGTGAGTTCCCAAAATGTGTCTAGAACCTCCATGGAAAGCTGTTTGTGAAAACCTTTAATAGTTAAATGAAGTCTTCAGATACAAATATCTCACTTTTTTTTTTTTTTGGTAGAAAATACACTGTTACAATACTTAAATTTAGGAGACAAAATATTAGTGAAAATAGAAGTCATTCAATACCAAGTGACATTAATGTAAGCAAACTACACTTTAAATATAGTTGCAATATTTAATTATGTCCTTTATATATCAATGTCTAGATATAGATAGTTAGATATAAAACTCCTTAATGAAAATTGTCCATGTAAATATTTTAGGCTTACATCACTTTAAAAAGCGGACACTCTCTAATCAGTTTATGGTTTAAAGCAGACACTCTCTAATCCATGTTTTGAGTTTGTTTTGTAAAACAACAATAATGATAAAGTATAAAACAATTAGAAAACTTGTTTGTAGATGGCTTAGGTTGTGTACACAGTCTGGTTCTCGCCGGCTGCTTATTAAAGTAAAAATTATTGCCATTATTTATGTGATGGCAAGGGATCTTGGTAGTTTTATTTTATCAAGAGATCACTTGATTAAGATGTTGTAAGCCTGGTTTAGATGTTGGGTTAAGTGATATACTGCATGCAAATCACTATTACTTGTCAGGGTGTGCATTTTCATGCATGCTACTCTTCTTCCACCAGTATGGGCGCTTGATTGACCTCTGCCAGCCTACACAGAAGAAATACCAGATTGCAGTCACCAAGGTGCTTGGAAAAAATATGGATGCCATTATTGTCGATTCGGAGAAAACAGGAAGAGATTGTATCCAGTACATCAAGGAGCAACGAGGCGAGCCGGAAACTTTCCTCCCTCTTGATTATCTGGAGGTAGCTTTGGTTTTTATATTCCTTTTTACTGACCACAGTGTGTTTGAACTATCCCCGCACCACAGAACGTGATTTGATTCTTATTAAATCCTGTTGTTTATCTCTCGAAGGATGTGCCAACATGCTAGCTTTAAAATCTTCACCTTTATATGCAGCAATACAGCATGGTTTTCATCAGTTCTAACTCTCCCATGTGTTGTTTAACTAATGCATGACAAAAAAGGTAAAAAAAAAACTGCAATCCAGCACAGAAAAACTAAAAAAACATTACAATAAATCGGAACAAAAAGGGTGGGAAAGCAAGACTAATTCCTTAGAAAGATTTGTCCAATGGTTTATAGGTGGATAACACAAAAAACAGGAAAGGCTTCCCCTCTAGCACTTTCCTAGTCTATGTAAACCTCTGTCGAAGTTAAACATCTGATAACTGATTGTGTGTGTCCCTTTTCAGTCGAATACTGTTTTTGTAATGCATACAGAGTGCCCGGTTGGTAATGATTTAAACCAGGCATAGGCAACCTTCGGCACTACAGATGTTTTGGCCTACACCTGCCATGATGCTTTGCCTTCATTATGGGTGTAAAAGCCTTATGGGGGATGTAGTCCACAACATCTGGAGTGCCAAAGGTTGCCTATCCCTGATTTAAACAATAATCCCTGATTCCCATGTGGGCCATGCTTTCACTTTGAAATTAATGCATGCTCCTTAATCATGTATAGAGTAGATTTACAATGATTCCACTGTTAGTTTATGGTGTCTTTACTGCTCTTGTGAGTGGCTTTTAAGCTTTGCTTATGCATTTTGCAACCTCTTCTCTTTTAATGGGGGACACGTAGCTATAGTTGACACCTTGCTGCCCTGAAGTTGTATTGATCTATGCATGCGTACATGTATAGAAGTATTGATCGAAATGCATTTGTAATCTTTGTCTTTGCTCTAAATTTTGTATCAACTTAAAAAAGCAAACTTTAATTTCACCCCATTCACCCATTTTTATTATGCCTTTCTATCTATCTCTATATTTTATTTTTTGCAAAATCCTGTATTTTATTTTTTTTACATTTTTCCCCACCCAAGCTGCAACATGTTTTCATTACCTTTCTATTTACAGTACATAAAATACAGTATGTCTAGCTGTCCGGGCACCGCTCAAGTATACAACGCAAATAAAATTAATCACACAGTGCTGAATTCAACATAGTGGAAGAAGTTTCATTAGCACCTGTGTTTTTACAGCATTCTCTACAGATTCCCAAAATCACATGCCTGTTCTCAGAGCAATACATACAGAGTTATAGATGGAGCTGTAAGGTTTCTTGAACAATCTGAAAAATAGAATATATGCAAATAGCGTAGTATATCTATACAATGTATTGTATATAGAAAGTAAGAATAGTTAAACTCACAAGGCTAGAGTCATACCGTCATATGACTCTAAAAGTATGCTCCCTTGGACCATTAGGGGGTTGTCCAAACCCTTCTTTCGTTGGTTTCTTGTTATTCCCCCTGGTGATCTTTAGAGTGTCTTCAATAAAGATGCCCAGTATACAGAGGATCTTGGAAACCTGTTGGTTATAAGGATTATAGGAGTAGTTGTCCAACCAACGCTGGTATGCTGGAGATGGGAACCTCTGACTGGAGTGCTTTATGTAGCTCTCATTGGCTTCAGTGATGATCTGTTCAGGTCTAGCAGGAGTATTCTCTAAAGTTCTCAGAGCATCATGGGAAAGTGTCCCCACTTTCTTTAAAAAAAAAAACAAAACAAAAAAACAACAAATATACGTAGTGTTTAATATGGTGAAGAACTGTCACCATGTGTATTAACCTGCAGGTTCCATTTTTAACATATGATCTGCAATACTGCTGTTTTATTGTTACACTTGCACTATTTAAAAAATAAATAAAAAATTACCTGGTGTTATTTATATGCATAAATTATATTTTAATTTTTTTTATTTTTACGTTCACAGGTAAAGCCTACAGATGAAAAATTGCGTGAATTGAAAGGAGCAAAACTAATAATTGATGTAATCCGGTACGAGCCCCCGCATATCAAGAAAGCTCTGCAGTATGCTTGCGGGAATGCTCTCGTATGTGATAATGTGGAAGATGCTCGAAGGATTGCTTTTGGGGGACACCAGAGACACAAGGTGAGCATTTGCAGTCCTGAAACCTTAGGGCAAGTGTGTATTTTTTATTGTCTTGTACCTCACTGTGGGATATCTTGGCACATTTTACTGTCCCTTTGTAAAGCAGATTTAAACAAGAAATTGTTCTGCTTTAAATACTCCATGATGCAATGCCAGTTTCCTTTTTTAATTACTGCTTATCTGGGACCCTTTTTTCTTTCTTTTTTTTTAATTTTGTCAAATGTGCATTAATCCAATCATTTTGTTAATGCCATTGCAGTGACATAATGCATTGATAGTTTTGAGAACGCGCAGACATTGTACAAATTCCTATACTTCAAAATAATTTCATAAAAACTGTTGTAGCTTTCAAACAAACAAAAACTTGGAACACAAGTTAACCTGATTATTAAGTTACTAACCTTCTGTTTGTTTTAAAAAGTGCACAATTTATGTATCGTGTGATAAATAAAATGTCTGTGCCTTTATCTGCTTGCTTTACTTATTAAAAAAAGTAAGCATATATTTTACAGTTTTTTTTCATGCCCAGTGGTATCTACTTATACTCCACGTCTGTTGTTACAGACAGTTTCTTAAGTTAACATCATGCTTATGACGGGCACTTTATGTTTTTCCTCTTGCTAGCTCAGCACTCATACTTTTTAATCTCTTTGACAAAACAACTATACCTTTTAATATTCAAGTTATGTATTAGTGTGTAGACCTGATGTACCTGCCTAGCAGGTTTACTTTAATATTATGTTATTTTAACGAAAAATGAGGCTGTCCTCTCTAGAAATATATTCTTTGGTGCATTGATACCTTTTTTTTATTTTCTAAATTTTTGTGTACATCTGATTTAATTCCATTTCTTTTTTCTGTAATCCATTTTCTTTTTTCTGTAACACAAGCATCTTAAGTCTCAACAAAAGATTGACATATATATATATATATATATACATATTAGCACTTCTGAATGAAATGTACTGATTATGTACTATGCAATCTACTATCAGCACATTGTAATGGTTTCTCTTTTTCACAGACTGTGGCCCTAGACGGCACCTTGTTCCAGAAGTCTGGTGTGATATCTGGAGGCGCTAGTGACTTGAAAGCCAAAGCCAGGCGATGGGATGAAAAAGCTGTGGATAAACTTAAGGAAAAAAAGGAACGTTTAACAGAGGAATTAAAGGTAGGTTGGACTCTGTGGTTGGTATATTTAAAAGATAACTTCTAATTTATCTTCCCAGTACAAGAAACCTCCATTAGTTTTGTTAATTTAGGATTGTTATTTTTACAGGAACAAATGAAAGCCAAGCGTAAGGAAGCTGAGTTACGGCAGGTCCAGTCCCAGGCTCACGGTTTGCAGATGAGACTTAAATATTCCCAGAGTGACTTGGAGCAGACCAAGACACGCCACTTGGCCATGAACCTCCAGGTACCTGCTACTGGTTATTTACGTGGTTATAGCATGCACAGGACTTGAAATGTTTATCTTGTGATTAGAAAGTTAGACCGTGAGTAGTAATTTTTAAAACGCTTGTGATAAGAGTTCCAGATAAAAAGTTTTTTACTCATGTAGGAAAAGTCCAAGCTTGAAAGTGAGCTAGCCAATTTCAACCCACGGATCAACGATATCAAGCGAATAATACAGAGCCGTGAGCGGGAGATGAAGGACCTTAAGGAGAAGATGAACCAGGTACGGAGTGTTTTAATTTGAATGTTGTTCTATAATGGTCTCTAGAACCCTGTGTTGGTTACCAGAAGCAATATTACATGTCTCCATTTAATCGCTATATAAATCTGTGATTTCTAGGTGGAGGATGAGGTGTTTGAGGAGTTTTGCCGTGAGATTGGAGTTCGTAACATCCGAGAGTTTGAGGAGGAGAAGGTGAAGAGACAGAATGAGATTGCTAAGAAGAGGTATTTACTTTGCTGCCCATTTTTCCTTAAGCGATGTTGTTATTTGTACTTTATTATTAACCTATTTCACTGCACTTTACAAATATACAGTGGAGCCCTACGGAAACAAACTTACAGTAATGGTATGTTTGCTATGCCTACTTGCAATAAGGAGTCATGTAAGCATAATAAAAAGCAAAGAAAACAAAAACTAAACCAAACAGTGTGAACTGTCTAATGGGATTGAGAGATGATAGGCAGTTAGAGTTTACATACAAAGCAGTTTAATAAAAAGACTTGTTGTGGGATGTTAGCATTATTGTATGGGCATTATTGTATTTGTTTATTTGTTTTGTTTTGTGCTTTTTTTTTTTTTTAAATAAGGTTTTGTTTGTTAAAGGGACACTCCAGGCACCCAGACCCCTTCTGCTCATTGGAGTGGTCTGGGTGCCAACTCCCACTACCCTTAACCCTGCAAGTGTAATTATTGCAGTTTTCATAAATTCAATATTTACTTTGCAGGGTTAAGTCCTCCTCTAGTGGCTGTCTACTAGACAGCCACTAGAGGAGAGTTCCGTGTTGATAGAACACGATAAGTGTTTTAAAACGACGCTGGACGTCTTCACGCTATGTGAGTACCTCCAGCGTCGTCAAAATCCCCATAGGAAAGCATTGTATAATGCTTTCCTATGGGGAGGTCTAATGCGCGTGCGCGCCCATTGCCGCGCATGCGCATTAGGTCCCCGCCGCCGCCAGCCACGCATGCGTGTTAGGTCTGACAGCGGTGGAGGATCGTAGGCGCTGGACTCCGGTAAGTCACTGTATGGGGTTTTAACCCCTTCAGCAACTTGGGATGGATGTTTTCCTGGCACTGGAGAATCCCTTTAATGCCTGGCATAGAAGCTGTTACACTGAGAGCCACTAGATTGTGCTTCTGCAGTGAGAGCAGAGTCAGACCCGGTTTTTGATGTTCAGCATCCTCACGCATTGTATTCGTCAATTTCCCTTTAATGTACATAAAACTGAGCATTAGTTGATAAAAAGGTAACACAACTTACAGGTGATTTTCAGTTTTGTATTCAGTGGTGTACTTTATGGAAAACTGGTACTTCCGCTGTAAGATTGCTTTATTTCTTTATGGACTTCGTTAGCTCATGTAGATCTTTCTCTGTAGGCTGGAGTTTGAAAACCAGAAGACCCGTCTGGGGATTCAGCTGGACTACGAAAAGAACCAGCTAAAGGAAGACCAAGGGAAAGTCCAAACTTGGGAGCAATCTGTGAAAAAAGATGAAAATGAAATCGAGAAACTAAAAAAGGTAATTGTAAATATATACATGCAGCTGGGGGGATTTGATGGGGGTCACACTCGGTTAATTTTGAATTATTTATGTGCTATAGCATTAAATTGATTTACAGAATTACTTATGTGAAAGTTTAAGCAAAAAGAACATTTTCCAACATTTTGCATCCTAACCCACGACCTGTCACATCTCCCTTCCCTCCATTTTAAAATATTTTTTTGGCTGGTTACACTTTTGGATCATAGATGCCTTTTTGTCCTTTCAGCAGGAAGCACGGCAGAGATTTCTGGGAATTGTAGTTCAGTTAACAACTCTCATAACCTGATACTTGAAATAGAACTTCCAGACATTCCTGTTCTGGCCATAATGTCATGATGTCCAGGGATTTGTGGGATAAAGTCGGAACTTTAAAATGTGCTCTAGAGTAGCTTTTGAAATTCTTTTTTTTTATTTTTTTAATTGAGGCATGTGATTCATACGGTACAGAAAATGGAAAAAGGTAGTATAACAAGAATACACAGCATAAGAATATCAGATTGCATAAAATTATACACCTATGCAGATCAGCCTCCTTTAAAAAAGTAAATAAACAGGCTAAGTATTCTCGTCAGATTTTACGTAATAACATACTTGAACATGCTGATGAATATGTCAATAGAGAATTGGGATGAAAGTAGAGAAATCAGGATATACTAACTGACAATGTGACTAGTGTAAATGAGAACACATGAAAGCTGCAGGGCTAGTGTAAGCAAGAAATGCTAATATCACAGTAATACAGAGCCGTCATCCGATGCTCAATTTGGGTAAGAGCAGTGCCCATACTTCAGGAATGCTTACCAGTGCACATCTAGTAGGCCCATGCGGGAAGCCACACCATCTCCAGGCTGAGATTAGAGCCAACACCAGTTCTCCACGGACCCAGGTTTTAGTATTGCCCAAGTCCATACCCCTCCCGGGTCTGCGTGGGTACCAGGTACGATTGATGCACCTCCGCTTCAGTCTCTTGCAGCCCCTCTGTTGGTGAGAGTAGTGTGGTGAGGTCTTAACTCGCCGGTAGATCCCAGTAAAGGTGTTTTTTAGGAGACGTGGGATCAGTGGTAAGGGATTTAATATCTATGAGACTGTATTGCTCTGCAGAATTAGTTGCACTCATTAGTTCCTATTTTAAGGATGTTTGAGGGGTAATGTTCCTGCATTACTCATGTTACTTTAATTGCTATGAGTGATTATTGAAGTACATTTCTTGGCAGCTTCACTTTATAATATCTTCAGGATATAAGCAATATCCGCGTTACCCTTATATATCCTATTTTGTATTTGCTTTCTATGTGTTTTTAGGAAGAGCAGAGACATATGAAGATCATTGATGAAACAATGGCCCAGCTGCAGGACCTGAAGAACCAGCATCTTGCCAAAAAGTCAGAAGTAAACGATAAGAACCACAACATGGAAGAGATCCGCAAGAAGCTTGGCGGGGCCAACAAGTCAGTATATGAAATGAAATGTATATCAACATAGCTACTCATGGATGTATTTACCAAGATATGTGCTTTGAGTATCTGTTACAGGGTCACTTATCCCTACAGTAGTGTCTCCAATAATTTGATTGCTTCTATAGTTGTTGGGGTTTTTTTTTTTTTTTGGTTATTTTTTTTTTTTTAGACCATACTTTGTGATACACAAACTTTTAACATGTTGTAGGCTAAATCTCCCATAATGGACTTACAACACAATGCTGGCAAAGCACCAGGGGAGATGTAGCCCACAACATCTGGGGTACCAAAGGTTGCTTACACCTGGTATACACAACCGATAGCCAAATAGCAACTTTTAGACACACAACTCTGATTTGCAAAACTTCATCTCTTATAGTAGCTATTTTAGCTTGAATTTTGCAATTTGATTTGCTATTTTAGCTTGAATTTTGCAATTTGATTTTCAGTTTGGCTTTAATGGTTTGCCTGGCGTGAAAATATTAATTATGGTGCCTAACTGTTGTTTATAGGGAGATGACCCACCTTCAAAAGGAAGTCACAGCCATTGAAACTAAATTGGAGCAGAAACGCAGTGACCGTCATAATTTGCTGCAAGCCTGTAAAATGCAGGATATTAAGTTGCCACTGACTAAAGGAACTATGGATGACATCAGCCAAGAGGAGGTAGGAAGAAAATATTGCAACTTCTCAATCTACGCAGGTTTCCTTTAGCAATTGGTGTACTATGTCTGATTCCAGAAAATCTGCACTGTTGAGTGCCCGTTTTATACATCAGTCATATATTGCCAATTGAGTTTCTGTAATTTGTATCGTATTGTGATTGGCATTTCCCATTGCTATTTAGGTTACATCATAATGTAGCTATGCTGTAAAAAATATATGAATGTTTCAAATTGGTTTTTATTAACTCATTTTAGGGTGGGTCCCAAGGAGAGGAATCTGTAAGCAGCTCCCAGAGAAGCTCCACTGTCTATGCTCGAGAAGCCTTGATAGAGATCGACTACAGTGACTTGTCTGAAGACCTCAAGGTGAGCAGATAAGATCTTCTGAAGCTCTTGAAAGAATAAGAACGCAAATGTTGCTTGCACAGAAATTTGATGAAGGAAAGGCTTAGTTCATAAGGGCAGAGGTGCCTGATAGGGAAGTGGTTCATAATATATCTTTAATAAGGACACTATTCCCAGGGCTTTTTAAGTCCAAATTCATTTTATGGAGAACTACATACCTCCCAACAATGGAAGGTATGGAATTGGGATTGGGTGTGCAAGGCCCTGAGGGGGCGTCTGGTGATCCCCATAATTATCGAGCCTGCCTGGAATATGGGTGGCCCACCCGTTGACAGGTCACCAGCCTTCAGTACCATGTGGGGAGTACTGCTGAAGCTAGTGCACGCTGCACAGCTGTAGGGCATCAAATGAGATATGGGGACTGCTAGGAGGCCTGAAACTAGCACAAAGATTTGCAAAGTTCAAATTTAATTTCTACGGTAAATGATGGACAAGGTATACTGTAGTTGAGTCTGGAAACTGTGAATGTCTTTAAGAAGGCTGTTGTAATCAAGATGGGAGATGAGGGGCTGAATTATTTTTTGTAGTATTTATATTTTTGTGGTGTAGGTGCCAGGACAAAGTGAGGGATTATTTGAGTGGTGAAAGAGGTCAGGGTAATAGAAGACAAAAGCGTTATGCTTGGTTACTTTGGAATATGGTAAGGAGGAATTGTATTATTGGGAGGGGGGTGTCTTCAGGCAGTGATAGAACATCATAGAAGAGAATAACTGGTTTTTAATTTTACAGTAACTTGAATTCAATTGAATTATTGTTCTGTTTTTTCCTGGCAGGATGCAGTTGCAGATGATGATATCAAGCAGGAGATGAGTTCGTTGCAACAAAAGCTGAACGAGCAGCAGAGTGTTTTGCAGCGTATCTCTGCTCCCAACATGAAAGCTATGGAAAAACTGGAAAGTGTTCGAGACAAGTTTCAGGAGACCTCAGATGGTGAGCTAAATGGGAGCTAAACTAAAGAATATTGTTCAGTTCTAAAGCACTAGCCTGTCCAAAGGAATGTGCAGTAGTTAAATGGGCCCCCACCCAATCTACAAAACCCTTGGGATTATGATTAGAACAAGGATTAAGTTTATGGTTAGGATATTTGGTTACACCATATTCAGTTTAAGGCCAGGAATGGAATCTTGAGGCTTTGTCCTTCAGGGGTTCAAGGAATAGAAGTGTTCTTCATCGGTTATGTGGTTTTATATTTGATTTTAACTGTGCATCCTTTGCTGCAGAATTTGAAGCTGCTCGTAAACGTGCTAAAAAGGCCAAGCAAGCATTTGAGCAGACCAAAAAAGAGAGATTTGACCGGTTTAATGCCTGTTTTGAGTCTGTGGCAACCAACATAGATGAGATCTACAAAGCCCTTTCCAGAAATAGCAGTGCCCAGGTAACACGCTAATCTTTTTTTGATAGCCTGCTTTGTTAGCTGCTTCCGGTTCTCTTTCTCACTTTGTCCCTTTTGCTCAGGCTTTCCTTGGACCAGAGAACCCAGAGGAACCCTACCTGGATGGCATTAATTATAACTGTGTAGCTCCTGGGAAGCGTTTCCGACCCATGGACAACTTGTCTGGAGGGGAAAAGACTGTGGCTGCTCTTGCCCTTCTCTTTGCTATCCATAGGTAGGTGATCAAACACACAATTTTGACCTTTTATTTTTTTATTTTTTTTAATATGAACATGACTTGTGTATGTTTTATATACCTGTATATAATTAGTATGCTTTAGTAGTAGTTACACAAGATGCTTTTGCTATTTTTAATGTATTTCTTCATGGGTGTTTTTGTAACCAGCTCAATGTTACTCCTGAGTTTTATCCTGTTAAGAATTGAATGTGAAATTCTTAGTTGTGTAGAAGTGCTGTAACCTTTAGAAAGACAAGCTAACCTCAATCATTTCTCTGAGAAGAATTGCATTCAGTGCTTCGTGTAGAGAAGCATCGGACATCCACAAAGCCCAGTGTCCACTTGCAAATCACTTTATTTCAAAAAAAGTGCTTTTGGTGATTGGAGTGTCTCTTTAACCCCTTAAGGACACATGACATGTGTGACATGTCATGATTCCCTTTTATTTCAGAAGTTTGGTTAAAAAAAAAAAAAAAGTACAGATGGAGTGCTGGAGGATAGCCATACCTGGTGTAGGGAATCAAGCAGGACTTCACTTCTGGCATTTATATGTTCTAGCAAGCAGGGTTGGGGTTAGATTTAACTCTGTGGAAATAAATGTATTTTAGGATTTAAGAGACTCTGTGAATAATAATTTATGGTGTGATTCCCACCAGAAACCTTATTGTATTACATTAAACTATTATTCTAAAACAGCCTTTCACATCATCCTGTCATAGGTCAATGATAATAGATCTATGCCAATTTTATTCCTATTTTATTTTTATTTTTTTTCTTCAATGGCTTACTATTTTCAATTCTTTCTTCACCCACAGCTACAAACCCTCTCCTTTCTTTGTACTTGATGAAATTGATGCTGCTCTTGACAATACAAACATAGGAAAGGTAAGTACTTGAGCAAAGATCCATGTTTTTACCTTGGCTACATTAAAAGCTAGTATGTATTTTTTTAATTTTATTATTTAAATACATTATTGAATTCTGAAATGTACGGGTTTTAAATCCCATATACATATATATTGGGGAGAAAAAATATTCCTCACACACAGCAGCTCCCAAAGATTTTTTTCAACAATTATCCCAGAATGCCATGCTGAATATGCAAATGAATACACAACTTTTCTCTTTAGGTTCATTTAGCCATGGTATACTGCTTTATAACATTGCTTTTTACAGGACTCCCTGGGTTAGTTACTAAATGACCAGACATGGACTGCACAGATTTGGCCTTCTAGGTCTCTGGACCAGTGGAGGAAATCTCTACAATTTAATGAAACTTGAACCAAGTGGAATTTGTTTACTGTGCAAAAATAAAAAAATAACAGAACTGGGCAGTACTAGAAGTAATTTGAAACATGACTAGCAATCACATAGCTGATGGCGCAGTCAAGAGAAATTGGGCTTAACACTGTTCCTAAGCCTCTTAATATTTAAGCACATGGGGTGCAAAATAGAATGAGTCTTATCATAAAAATATACACGGCTAGGGGAATAGAAAAAAAATGTGTTTTTGGAGTGTTTTCAATGCAAATCCTTTAAAAAAAAAAAAAACTCCTATTTTTATCATGAAAATCTATCCATTTGAAGGACCGCTTTAAATGGAAAGATTTAAAGGTGCAGCTTCACCATGTCAGTTCCTGCATGTAACTCTTTTTCTATTCGTATCTTCTTTCTGTAGGTGGCCAACTACATTAAAGAGCAATCCATGACCAACTTCCAAGCTATTGTCATCTCCCTGAAGGAGGAGTTTTACACCAAGGCTGAGAGCTTGATTGGTGTATACCCAGAGGTAAATGAACATTTGGGGTTGTTGGCGAAAACAGTATACAATGTAAAATGGCAGTGCAAAATTGAATGGAAACTTTTCAGACAAAATGACTAAGCTGGAAAAACTTGGTGGATACATTTTCAAAGTTAACTGTTTTAGTTTAAAATTTAAATGTAGAATTCAATCCCTGGTGAATACAGACACACAGCAGTGGATTTCCAGTGGATAGAAGAAATTATACTGCGTGTTCCATTAAACGTCTTAAGTGTGCAGATCCTTTAATACACGCCTGTGGTCTTTCAACCAAAATGTTTTTTCTATTTCTTTTAGCAAGGTGATTGCGTGATCAGCAAGGTCCTCACCTTCGACCTCACCAAGTACCCCGATGCCAACCCTAACCCAAATGATCAGTAGTGAGCGTGTGATGGATTACAAGAGTTATATTTCACATCCTTCTGGACATTTTGTTACATTTCTATGTATGCTCAACAAATGTGTTTTGATGATGGGACGACCTTGTCAAGTGATTCTTCTTCACATGGGCATTTGTACGTGTAGATACCTGCTGGAAAGCTATGACCTGATCTTTATTTTTAAACCTATGCCTTCTTAATTTTAATCCTAATTATGTTACTTATCCACTGGCTCTTATCCTTTCTATCTGATTCATGGAACTGTGTTTTAGAGGTCACCTCCTATTTGGTTTGGAGGTGGATAATTTTAACGCTTTTATCACTCATGTAGCTGTAATGGCTTTTATTGTTTTTAGTGTATATGTTCTTGCAGCTGCATAGATTGCGTATTGTTTTGCAATAAAGATCCTACAAGTAAGTCCTTCTTCTTTTTCATCTCATTCATGTTTGTTTTTTTTTCTTTGTATGAAACCTGTCCGTGCCAGCGAACATTTTCCTGTTAACACCTTGATGCTTGGCAGGCTAGAAAGCTGAGGTGTTAAACTTTCTCTGCTTCCTCAAACATGCTACATGTGGTATGCAACTACACATCAATTTTAACTTCCTAAAGCTCAAATTTAGTTTTCACTAAATTGAGGAGTTGTCAGGAATTCACAAGATCATTGTAACATCTCTGAATTGAATTTAATTAAAACTAAATATTCTGATTAAATGTTTATAGCTCAGTTCCTGCAATTCCCAGCCGTTCAGTGTTTAGTGAATACTTCTGTCAATGTTCCAAGAAGGAAGGGGTACTGTTCAGTGTAAATAAAACAACAACTTGTTTTATCGTGGAAACTAATAGAAAATTCTTGATTGCTGCATGTTTAAAAACACAACATGCTGGCAGAAGATAAACAATGGCAGCCAATTTTCTTTCTCTTTTTTTGTGATTACCTTGTTCTGTATTGTTATTGCAAAACCACAATTTTTAATTTGATTTGGTTTAACCACGGAAGTCATCTTTGTATTATGGCCACTAACATGATGATTATGGAAACCTCAATATTTCAACTAAGGATGTTCTTAGCTCCTTGGACTTATCTCTAGAGCACATTACAGTGTGTGTGTGCAATAAATATATATATATTCTATTGAAAACCCCTTCCACCTGAAGTCTGTGGATAGTTAATACAATATTAAACAAAAGTCTGAACACCAGTCAAGCCATAAGACTTGCTTTTCCCACATAAATCACAAATTTGCAATGATGTTACTACTGCAAAGGATTCTGGGTGGGCATATGCAAATTATTTAATCAAAATAAAAGTTTTCCCTCATTCCATTTTAAACATGTTTGCTGTATACAACCGCTTTGAAACACAACTTAGGAAAAGATGCAAAGCCAGTGAACCCACTCATGGACAGCTGTTTCATTGTTAAAGGGAAACTCCAATGCTAGGAAAACAATCCGTTTTCCTGGCACTGCAGGTCCCCTCTCCCTCCCACTCCCCAATCCCCGGTTGCTGAAGGGGCGAAAACCCCTTCAGTAACTTATCAGAGGCAACGACATGTCCCATGTCGCTGCTCCTCCTCTGTATTAAGTCGGCCGGTGGGTTCAGCGCTTGGTGGCCAATAAGAAGCTAAAATTAATATAGAGACGGCCGCAACCTAATAATATGACGTTTCCTCACAAATCGTCAAAAAAGATCAAATCTAGAGAATAAAGAATTATAGGTCGAGCCACAAAAAACAAATGTAATGATATAATTAAACCAATAGTAAATAATAAAAATTAAGATAGGTCGCGCCACAATAAACGATAGGGTAATATAAAATACAATAATGTACTTACATATATCAAACGGAGCAAAATTTACAATAGTCCTGATATTAAATGGACAGGTAGAAAACCAGGTAGACTTGCAGGAGCTTGGGTTTGATGTATATCTGTATGGGTTGTAGATCTTGAAATGGTTAAGTTCTCTTGATTCAGGTTAGAATATGTGAAAATAAAAGAAAAACTCCAATAGTGCAAACTGCAACTGACAAAATGGAAAGGGAAAAACTTCACAGCAGGGGTGGTATTCTCACTCACCTATTGGAGAGCTAGAACTAGCTCAGGTATAACTGGCATTCAGTGGCTTTGATCCCCCACTGGTAGGATATAGGTGTTGGTAGGCAGAGGAGGTCCTCGGTATGGAGAGAAAGTAAAACCAAATATAGTGCTCACTGTATATATTATAAGGCAGGTTAATATAGAAAAATAAAGTACTCACATTTAAGTGAGCAGGATATACTGCTCACTGTAACCCACAGGTCATTATGGACAGCTCACTGACACACAGCTCGCTACAGAAAACTCACTGACACTCACACAAGCTCACTCAACAGAAGGTCATTGACACATTCACAAGCTCACTCACAAGACAAGTCTGAAAAATCACAACACAGCTCACTACAGAAATCTCACTAAACACAAGCTCACCCACAGACATTCAATCTTACTATAGAAATAATCACTACACACCGCTTACTACGCACACCAATCTCACTACAGAAAGCACATTGACATATACAAGTGGTCTACAAACTTCTAACTACACACAATCTCCCAGCTCACTATAAACCGCTCACTGACACACACAAGCTCACTACACACAGTTCACTACTGAAAACTCACTGACATACACACAAGCTCACACAGCTCACTACAGACGGCTCACTCACATGAACACAAGCTCACTACACACGCTTAACAAAAAACTCAAGCTCACTGACACACATACACGATCACTAAACACAATCTCACTGACACACAAACACAAAAGCTCACTATACACAAGCTCACCAAACACACACACAAGTTCACTAAACTCAAGCTCAAACACACACACACACGCTCACTACACACAAGCTCACTAAACACGGGCTCAGTACACACAAGCTTATTGACACACACAAGCTTACTAAACACAGGCTCATTGACACACACAAGCTCACTAACACAGGCGCACAACACAAGCTTACTGACACTCACACACACACACATACTGACTACTTGCTGTGGATGGAAAGCTTGAAACCATGCTGTTCCTTACAGCATGGCTGGCTGGCTGAAGTTGAGGGTGGAGCTTATGTGCTGCTGGCTCCTACAGCTTGTGCTGCACCTGGGAGAGCTGACAGAGGCTTGTAGGGGTCTAACTTTAACCCCACAGAGGGGATGGGCTGAGGGAGGAGGAAATATCCCCATCTCTTATCCTACACGGAGCTCCCGCTAAGGAGGTTTATCAGAGACCAGGTAAGGAGAATTTCATGCTGGTCACACTGCATTGGTGCTTTATTTGACTCTCTGATCTCCCCAGCCGGGCCATAGCTGCTCCGGGCCACTGACTGCCACGGCCCTCGGTCCATGACTGATGTGTGCAAGTGGTCAGTCCACCCCTGATCAGATGAGATTTCGAACTGACATATGTGTTCCCTCCAGTAAGCCTCATTCCAAGAGTGATTCAGAAGATCAGAATAGACCATAGATCAGAATAGGCCATAGTTCTAGCTATCATCCCATACTGGCAGAAACGGAGTCAGTTTTCAGCGTGTTGGTAGCTTCCAATTTTGACGCAGCTAATAGAGCACAGGGATCTACTTCTGGAAACCATCGAATATTCAAACTGACAGCATGACTCAATCTACTACATGGCTCTACCAGGAAGTCTACATCTAAGATATATTTAAGAATGTGGGCAAAATCTCTGTATTTTTGCAGGGACCATATCTTTCCTCAGGTTCATCCATCTATGGACACCATTCTTCATTTCCTTCAAGATGGTTTTGCATCTGGTTGGAGTGTCTCTACTCTTAAAGTACATCTGTTTACTTTGAGTCACTCCCTCGTTCAGGATTTATCTACGAATATCTGGATTCGTAGATTCTTCAAAGCTATCAGACTTCTGAGACCTCCTCGCAAGTCTTTGTTCCCTACCTGAGGTTTGTCTGTAGTACTGATGGCAATTTGCGAGCCTCCTTATTTTAAATCTTGGAAGACATTGCATTAAAGCTATTGTTTCTGAAAACTATATCACTTCAGCCAAAAGAGTTGGTGAAATCCAAGCATTCTCTTGGAATTTATGATATTTCATCCTGAAAGTCATCCTTCACCCAAAGCCTTTTTTTTGCCTGAAGTACTTTCCAACAAAGCAGTTAATCAATCTATTGTCCTGTCTATTTCTTGTAGCACTGCATCTTCCGTTAAAGAAAAAATTTACAGTGTCTGTTCTTTAAATTTCAGGTCATTGGACCATAGAAACATAGAATGTGACGGCAGATAAGAACCATTCGGCCCATCTAGCCTGCCCAATTTTAAAAAATACTTTTCGTTAGTCCCTGGCCTTATCTTATAGTTAGGATGGCCTTATGCCTATCCCACGCATGCTTAAACTCCTTTATTGTGTTAACCTCTACCACTTCGGCTGGAAGGCTATTCCATGCATCCACTACCCTCTCAGTAAAGTAATACTTCCTGATATTATTTTTAAACCTTTGTCCCTTAATTTAAGACTATGTCCTCTTGTTGTGGTAGTTTTCTTCTTTTAAATATAGTCTCCTCCTTTACTGTGTTGATTCCCTTTATGTATTTAAATGTTTCTATCATATCCCCCCTGTCTCGTCTTTCCTCCAAGCTGTACATGTTAAGTTCCTTTTAACCTTTCCTGGTAAGTTTTATCCTGCAATCCATGAACCAGTTTAGTAGCCCTTCTTTGAACTCTCTCTAAGGTATCAATATCCTTCTGAAGATATGGTCTCCAGTACTGCGTACAATACTCTAAGTGGGGTCTCACCAGTGTTCTGTACAATGGCATGAGCACTTCCCTCTTTCTACTGCTAATACCTCTCACTAAACAACCAAGCATTCTGCCAACATTTCTTGCTGCTCTATTACATTGTCTGCCTACCTCATCTGAAATATTTACTCCTAAATCCCTTTCCTCGGATGTTGAGGTTAGTAGGGTATCAAGTATCCTATACTCTGTCCTTGGGTTTTTACGTCCAAGGTACATTATCTTGCACTTATCTACATTAAATGTCAGTTGCCACAACTCTGACCATTTTTCTAGTTTACCTAAATCATTTGCCATTTGGCTTATCCCTCCTGGAACATCAACCCTGTTACATATCTTAGTATCATCAGCAAAAAGACACATCTTACCATCAAGACCTTCTGCAATATCACTAATAAAAATATTAAAGAGAATGGGTCCAAGTACAGATCCCTGAGGTACACCACTGGTGACAAGCCCTTGCTTCGAATATATTCCATTAACTACAACCCTCTGTTGCCTGTCACTCAGCCACTGCCTTACCCATTCAACAATATTTGAATCCAAACTTAAAGATTGCAGTTTATTGATAAGCCTTCTATGTGCAACAGTGTCAAAAGCCTTACTGAAATCTAGGTAAGCAATGTCTACTGCACCACCCTGATCCATTATTTTAGTTACCCAATAAAAAAAAAAAATCAATACGATTAGTTTGGCATGATCTCCCTGAAGGGAGCCTTTTAATTCATCTCTTGCAGAATGCTTGTCCCATGGGTTAGTACATTCCTACTGTGTACTGCCACCATGTTAAGCAAAAATTATTTAGGGTAAGTAAAATTTCTGTTTCTACTGCAATACCTTTTTACCACCACTAGAGGTCAGTGTATTAGTCAGAAAACTATCGGGAGGTGTTGCTAAACCATGGACATTTTATTTATTTATTGATGTAGTTGCAGAAATTTATAATGATCATTCTTAACAACACTTCCTAATCAATAACATTTTGGAAATTGTCAGTACTGATATGTAAGCAGGGTAGTTTTTATAGCATGTGTACAATATGTGATTTATTCGAAACAAATGAGAAAATGTACATTTTGACGTCCTAAAAGGACATTCCAGGCAGTGTTTATATTGTATTATATAGGTACAATATTTGGAAATATGCACAAAATGAATAAATGACTCATATTTGTAGTTCCTGTGTTTACTGCAAAACCCCAAGTTTTTTAGTTACGGACTACACTAGAATTCATATTTGCTTTATTTATTTTAGGAATAAAAAATGCATATTGATTATTAAATAATATGAGATATAGTGTGCTTACCGTTAGACATTTTATTTGTGCTAATTTGTATAAATTAGTTTCATCCTGCTAATTTCATAATGGAATAATTGTCAATATTTTCACTTGTGGGGGGCTGAGCCTGACTGTGGTGTTGAGCAGACATACTACCTGTGAGCTCCCAGTCCCGGGCCCGATTATCGTCTGAAATCGTGGGCAAATTGATTAATCTTGAAACCCAACCTACCACATCTTGCTACACAGAAGCTGGTGAACTGGGGGATATCTCGCATGCCCAAAATGCCCGCTGGAATGCACGAGCCGAGGCTTGGGGCCTACACTACGCTGAGCAGGGGAGAGACGGACGCTCTCCCGGTCCATAAACGCACGCAGCATCCACGGTACTCAGCAACCCCCCTCTCAGGACTGGTGGGGATTAACCCAGTCCCAAATGTCCCAATCCACACACCTCTGTGGACCCCAAAAGCTGGCACAAGCCCCAACCATGTACCATGCCTGCAGGCCGCTCGCCACTCCAAAATAGCGGACGCACAACCCAATGGGGTATATGTGCATCCGGAGCACAGCTTCAGCACAAACAAGCCTCTGATCAACCGCTGATCAACGAGCTGTTTGATACCTTCTGGACACGAATTGAGGCTCAACATGCTGCTACTCAGGCGCAGCTGCAGGAGAGCTGGAGCACAAAGGGACAACAGAGCGACAGCAGCTGGAGAGGGACTGGGACACCCTCGGGCAATACATTGACGAAGCAGTCCATTACTCTCCACACTAGCCCATCTGGACCAAAGGCCACCAGGGGAACGACCCCGGCGCATCTACCACGCAGGCAGCGCAAAAACACCAAGGCCTCCAGACCTGTCCCAACAGGGAAGGACCCAGTCTTCAGAAGCCCTCGGGTCCGTGGCTACAGGATGCCGGCCTTGCAGCAGGCCCGGAGCTGGAGGGAAAGACTGGCTTGCTCCTGGCTGTCTGCCAACTTCTATAATTACCCAGTGCTGCCGGCACAGATCCCAACTGAAGGAATGGGGTGACCAACCAGCCTGCGGGCGGTTTCCCCAATATCCATAAAAAGACGCTACCCAGTCACACATGGATGCTGACTTGATATATCCTGCTTTCTCACGATGATGCAGATCACATTTAATTTTATGTTTCTTTTTATTTTATGCAAATGTTCACCAACATAGAGTTTGCCCTTCATGACCTGCTGCACATAATATTACTTAACCAGCCATCTTGTTCCCTAGACCATGATGTCAATGTAAACGCTACCACTTATACGGCTGTCTTATACAGTATGAGCCACCCAGGGTTAACTCGGCTACTCATAGCACTTTGTAGGACCAAACCTGCAACCTATCACTTACATTCTGTATCGTCATTTAGCGATAACACCCGACCCCACATTAACCACTGCTTGCTAACCCATCCTTATTCCTTCAGACATATCGATTATGCATGTCTATACTGCGTCCACGGAGATGGGATTAATGTTTTCTATAAGTGTTTTAAGCTTACTTACCCAAACCTGAACGCACGCATGTTCTATTCATCTTGTCACCCAACTCTTTCATCCTGTGACATGTTAGAAAGTTTAAGCCTGTTTATAATATGCAAATTAAGTTTACATACTCAAATCTGAATGCATGCATGTCCTATTCATCTTGTCACCCAACTCTTTACTACTGTGACATGTTAAAAGTATAAGCCTGTCTATAAACTGTATATTAAGCTTACTTATGCAAACCTGCATGCACGCTTCTTGTCACCCAACTTTTCAAATCTGTGATATTTTACGAAGTTTAAGCCTGTTTATAGTATAAAAATGTGCAATGTTTGTCATGCCATTGTTTCACTCAAGTGTCAATGTATATGCTGTTGTGGCGTTATTAAACCGCTTTGTACTCACCTGCACAACAAAAATAATTTTTTTTAAATAATAAAAAATAAAATTTCACTTACTTTTTTCCTCTGGACTTTTTATGTATTTTTTATTTGGTGGCAGAGTTTGGCTATTTCACTATAACCAGGTGACTTATAGACGCTTTTAAAAATGCCTACTCATATATTGTTAAAGGCTTCCAGAGAATCATGGGAAATTTAGTTTACAAATATTTGGGACCTCAAAGTCAGCCATCAGTGACACAGGTAATATTATACTGAGGGAAAAGATGGACACAAAGGGGAGATTTATGAAAATGTTCTGTTTTAACAAGTGGTTCAGAAATGTGAAAGGGATGAGTCCCCAATGGAATGTGGGTGCTGGTTTCCATGGTGACTGCCTTACTTTAAAACTGTAGACTATTTTTTAGAACAGAACATTTTGATAAATCTGTCCTATGTAGCATACTAATTTATAGGAACTGACTTGGGGAGGGGAGATTTCTTAAAATGTTGCGATCTGAAAAGTTGTGGTAAATTCAAAAAGTGGAACAATAACCGGAAACCATCAGCTATTCCATTGGTGATTGTGGCACCATTTTTACCCCCAGATCATTGAATAAATTTACCCCATGTAATCAATGAGTAAAATAACGCCGTAAGCTAAGAAGCTAAGAACAACTCCAAAAATTTGTTTTTATAGTTTTGTGAAACTTGCAAGACAATATAGTATCAGAGAGTGCATGAAACTATTTTATTTACCATTTTTCATGCGCAAATTTCTAACATAATTCTATGAGTTGAACTTTGCAAGGAAAAAAAAAGAAGTTTTTCGCTCTAGAAACATGACAAATCCAGTTAGAGATCAGATCAAATATTTTAAATTGCTTAAGGATATATTACAGCTTCTAAATAACTTCCTTTTCACGTTTGTACACGCCAAGCATTACCATTATCTTTAAAAAAAAATAAAAAATTCTAAATCAACTCATTGACAAGTCAGATATAATATTGTATCTGTCTGGATATACTATAATATCAGATACACATACAAAATGTTATTTATTAAAACAAAAAGTTTAATAAATGCTAAATCACAAGCTTGAGTCTTTGTGCATAAAAGGCTTGAGATAGGCAGTGGATGATGGGATGTGAAATGGTCTGAGAGGTATGAAGTGAGCAGTGGATACAGGGTCATGACATAGCCAGAAAGTAGACAATGGTCCAGGCATTTAAGTTTTTAACCAAAAATGCAGGTTTATTGGAGCAGAGTACAAAACAGAAAATTGTTACAATACTCAGGGACGTTTTAGTCGCGAGGCAAACAAGGCATTTGCCTTGGGCGGCATTTTCCAGGGGCAGCAAAAAAAGCTGCTCCCCAAATACCCAGGGCAAATGTCTTGTTAGCCTTGCGGCTAACTGACAAGCCAGATGGGCTGCTGGGCGGGCGGCTGGCGAGGGAAAACTTTCCTCTGAGCGCTCTGTTCAGCTCCTTCGCGCATCGCAGAGTGAGCCTTGGAGCTGGACTATGACGTCATATTCCGGCTCCCAGCATTACTCTGCGGCGCGCGAGGTAGCTGAGCAGACAGCTTAGGGGAAAGTGCTCCCTCGCCAGTGCCGCCTCCCGACCGCCCGCCTGACCGACTGGCAGCCCCAGGGAGAGGGAGAACCCCTAACCCCAGCATTCCCAAAGGTAAGGAGGCTGGGGGTTAAATTAAAAAAAAAAAGTGAGTGTGTTAATGTAAGTGAGTGTGTGTCTGACTGTGTGTGTGTCTGTTAGTGTGTGTTTGTCTGTTAGTGAGTGAGTGTGTGTGTTTGTTAGTGAATGAGTGTGTGTGTGTCTGACTGTGTGTGTCTGTTAGTGTGTGTTGGTCTGTTAGTGAGTGTGTGTGTGTGTCTGTTAGTGAGTGAGTGAGTGAGTGAGTGTGTGTGTCTGTTAGTGAGTGAGTGTGTTTGCCTGTTAGTGAGTGTGAGTGTGTTTGCCTGTTAGTGTGTGTGAGTGTGTGTGTCTGTTAGTGAGTGAGTGTGTGTTTGTCTGTTAGTGTGTGTGTCTGTTAGTGTGTGTTTGTTTGTGAGGTAAGTCTGGCAGAAGTAGCTCCCAGTATCACCAAGCACCCTCTCTCTGGCGCGGTCTCCCTAAATACTGTAAGAGCCGCGTCAGACTAATGGGAGTGACATATTGCCCCTTTCGGCGCGTCACTTCCGTTTCTTGTAACGCCATTTTCCTACCTAGTGTCACTTATCTTTTTCCCTCCCATGGTTAGTGACACAGTATCCTTATGCCTCGTAACCGGAAGTTCACCACCAGCCATTTTGGAATGGGGAATTTGTGTCTTTCGTTATCTTGGTTGCCCAATCTTAGTGTCCTTGTACAGAACCAAAATATATGGTGCTCGTCCATATGAAAATATAAACAATGATCAAGGAATTAGCAAGACCCATAAATATAACGGAAGATACCCGGGAATGTGATGAATTGAGTCCCCAATTTAATTCTAAAGACACAATATTTGTATATAAATGTAAAAAAATAATAATAATATATATATATATATATAAATATATTAGATATACATAAAAAGTGTTAAAGAAAAAAGTTAAAAGTTATTTAAATAGAACTCAATTCCCATTCATATCCCTACATCCCTTGATAGACATCTCACATACAGCAGTAGATCGAAAATTGTTCATTCAGTCTGGGCATTATAAATAGTCTATAGCTATATCCTAAAAAAGGGGTGTTAAATAAAAAATATTGTAAAACATATATATTAAAATCTCCAAATATTTAAAAAAAATAATATAGCTCAAAATCACTATTGAGGCCATAGGGTAAAAGGGAATTTAAGGTAAAAATCCATCTCATTTCTGATTTGCCCATTGTACAAATTAGATCCTCTCCTCTCCAATTTGTCTCAATTTTTTGTATACCTAAAAGTTGGATTTGGCTTGGGTCCTTGTTATGTTTCATTTTAAAATGCTGTGAAAGGCTATGTTTCTCAAAACCATTCCTAATATTGCGGATATGCTCTTGATTCCTCACATGTAATGCCCTTGTTGTCCTTCCTACAAAGATCAATGTAACAGATTATGAGGCACCCCGACTGGGTACCTCAGTTGAAGGATGCTCCTAGCGCTTCCTGAGGACTCCAAGCACTGCAGCAGACACCACAACCACCGAACCGGAGAAGCATATGAATGCTGTAAACAGCTGAACAGGAAAAGCATACAATCAACTTACACTCCTGGCAATCAGCATACAATCCAATTCCCCCAATAACGAGACGACACTTCGTTTTGAGGTCAAGCAGAACTGACTGTACTGGCACATACAGCCTCTTTTATTCACAATCCACAAACATAGTACCGCCCACAGGGTTTTGAAATACAACCAATCAATCCGTACAATACTCACAGACACTCCCACACAAAATCCTCCACTCTAGCTGTGATATGATTACTGAACACAATGGGTAATATAATTATCACAGGCAGAGAAATACAGTATTATAAAACATATCACAGGGAGCCCAAAACATGCAATAACCCCATAAAAAGTATATCCTCAGAACCGGGGGATCTGGGTGAACCACATATCCAATATTCACCCAGATCTGTTCAGTAGTTTGGAAGATACAGTTTAATGCAGATTCCGCAGAACATATACAGGCTATATGAAAAATAATTACTGTATAATGTGTCCCCTGTTGCATAGT